CACCTTCCGGTTGGACATTCTGGGCGATCGTGTTCCGTGTCCCACCTTACTCTGATTGGTAAGGCTTGGAGTGTAAATTGGAAGATGCACTGTACAGACGGACTGTGATCTATAAGACGGGTCATGTGATGCTTCAGCATAGCAATTGATAAGTGCAAGTAATGATGCGCATAGCCAACGATATGATGCCATAGGTCTCGGTCAACAACTGGGTAAATGATATTGTGTGTGGATACACATCAGAGGCTTCCAAAATATTATGAAGGGTAGCAAAGTCATTTGCCATGCTCAACTTGGGAGGGAACTCGCCCAATGTATTGATGCTAACCTACACCTGTAAAGCCGTTGGCTTTTGCGGAACAGTAACGTCTTCCTGCAAGCTCGTGGGAGCATCTGGGAGTGGTTGCGCTTTCTATCTTGCTTCAGGTACCTCTGGTTGCTATTTTACTATACCAATCGTCTTTGTAGAGGTTGTATTGGCTGCCGCAATGTCAGAGGTAGTATTGTCATGTCGATATTCACCAGTAAGCTGTATCGGTAGAAACAATGATAAAGGTCAACGCAGAATGTGAACGACCCTTTACCACAACCCAAGATGAAGCTAACACCGAATCTCGATAAAACAGGCCCATAACGAACCAATAGTGTTACTATTTGGAGACAGGCCCGAGCTATGCCTGAGAAGCCCACGATCGGGTTGATGACCACGCCCTCACCACTAACATAACGGCGAGCAAAAATAGTGTACAGCTCTCAAACCAAGGTCAATAACTCGCATCTTAAGATAGCCAGCTATTTACCAATGCTGGCGTAAGTTTCATATGATTTAGTGCCCAGACGATAAGGCTGTTGAGTTGGGCGCAAGCTCTCATGATGCCACGTCCTGCCCCTCACTTGACGTAACGCGTCAATTGCGACGATGAAGCCCAAGGTGAAGCTTCGAAGTGGCTGGAAATATTACTACGATGAGGTTACGAAACGGTGACGTTCTTCCCCCTTAAACCTTGTAAATAAACCAAAGGCCGATTTAGAATGATGAGGAATTGCAAACACTCCAAGTCAGATCTGTCTCACGCTTGGCTAAGTACTTATGAACAATGTACGTACATTGAGTAGTTTGCTATAAGTGCCGGTCAATCCGATATGAAAGAGCAATATTCATCATATGGACGAAAATGAAGAAGAAGAGGTCGAAAGAAGCACCTAAATGAGAGATCATGAGATACGTGGATTCGAATCGTAGACTATTCACCATTCGGTGTTGCTTCTTTGACGCCTCCGACCGTGTAAGTCGTGATGCAACATCTTCGCCTTCTCAAGAGCCGATGGTGATATTTTATTCAACGAAAAAAAGTAAAAATGTACTTAAGTTGCATCTGGATACTTTCCGACTACTAAATGATGCAAAATTGGCTTGTGGTGTGGTGTGTGGTAGTTTAACGATTAGACAGTGGTGGGATGCGGATAGCTTCAGAAACGACGCGCGATGTTGAGAAATGGACTTGTGAGTGACTTTGAGCGATATGGATCATATGCTTATCAAATTGAGCCGGAACAACGTAGAAACTACACTATCGTGGTCGCTGTTTCATAAAAAGGCATTAAAAAGCTTCACAGGGGCATATTCATCACTGCATCAGTCGTAATTCGGAATGCGACAACGAGCATGGCTCATTCAATCGCCTCTCAACGGTTCTCGAGCGCGAAGGAAGCCTCATATATCAGTCGCAACAAGTCAGCGAATCCTCCACCTAATTTGGAACGCAAAAGATTGCCCGAGACTCGCAAGAAGACAAAGGAATCGAGTTATTCATCTCTTGGACAACGGTCGTCGAAGAAGCGAGAGAATCGAGGGAAATGGATGCTCGGGGGCATGAGTTGCGCTCGCATTTTGCCAGACTCTAGATCACACAGAGGTACACCTCATCCGAGGTGATGTCTGGGCTGGCCAATCAGAAAAATGGTCACTTGCCCAGGATTATTTTGGCATTTTTGGTGCCCCATTTTCTCAAGTGCCATATCTTGGAGGGTCCAGGCTTGGCATCTCTCTAACTTTGATGAGCTGGGTGTGGCTGGACAGAAATAGTGCAAGAGATTGTGAGTTATGCAGCGAGCTTCGGCCAATCCAGGAGCGCGATAAGAAAGTTCACGTGCTCTGTGGAGATCTTGTCGCTCTTGTGCGCTCTTTTGTGCAATGGCATGCCAGCGGGTGCTAAGTGTGCATGAGCATTTTTAGTGTGGCGCTTTAAAATGCCCCTCCCCCCAATCGGGGCAAGTGGGCCTATGGCAGGTGAGCAAGACGGGAGAGTCGCGAAGATGTAAGAGGAGAGCAGCGCAGGAGCAGGAGCTTGGGGAAGAGAGTGATTGCGCTCTGCCCCCGCCGAATATATAAACATGGCCCGTCCCCTCCACGCGCCCGACGAAGGTGGTACTACTCGTCGTTTGCTCTTTAGTCTCTTAAACGTCTTCCACAGCTTTCAATCGTCTTTAAACGTCTTTGTCGCGTCCCATTTCTCATCTCAACTACACGTCTTTATTCAAAGCATCTCAACCCACACAATCCAGCACAATGCCTCCCAAAGCCGCCGCCGCCGCCGCTCCCAAGAAGTCTGGCCACGCCAGTTATCAGGTGAGTTCATTCATTCTCAAGATAATTCATCTGGATTGGTCGCTAACACTTTATTTCAGGACATGATCACTGATGCTATTGTCAACGTATGTGAATTCTGAAAGCTCCCCATTCAAGTCGCGTCCACCATCGCGCACTCAGTCTTCGGTCGCGGATGAGGCTATCGCCACGCGCCCGACTGACCACTTTTCCTTGCTCATTTTCTTTCATTCATTTTCACTCACTAATGTGCTTTCTTTGCATCCAACAGCTCAAGGACCGAAAGGGCTCTAGGTAAGCTTCATTTTTCATTTATCCTCGTCGCGCAACGCACTCACGTTGTCGCTTTTCCCTTCCCTCTTTTCCCACCAGTTGCTGACTCGCCACACAGCCGTCAATCCTTGAAGAAGTACGTCAAGGCCAACAACACTCTCAATGTCACCGACAACATGTTCGACTCTCTCTTCAACAAGGCGTTGAAGGCTGGTGTCGACAAGGGTGTCTTCGAGCAGCCCAAGGGTCCTTCCGGTGGTACCAAGCTCGCCAAGAAGCAGCCCGAGGCTAAGAAGCCCGCTGCTCCTAAGAAGCCTGCTGCCGAGAAGAAGGAGGCCGCTGAGAAGCCTGCTGCCAAGAAGCCCGCTGCTAAGAAGGCCGCCGCCCCCAAGAAGGCTGCTACCGAGAAGAAGGTCGCTGCCCCCAAGAAGGCTGCCGCTGAGAAGAAGACCACCGAGAAGAAGGCTGAAAAGGCCGAGAAGGCTGAGAAGCCCGCTCCTGCCAAGAAGGCCGCCGCTCCCAAGAAGGCTGCTGCTACCAAGAAGGTATGTGTTGACTCAGCTGCTCTCCCATCACACCCTCTAACATTCTATCCAGGCCGACAAGGCTGAGAAGCCCGAGACCGCTCTTACAAAGACAAAGACAGGCCGCGTCACCAAGACCACCAAGGCAGCACCTGCAAAGAAGGCTGCTGCACCTAAGAAGGCAGCACCCAAGAAGGCCGCTGCCAAGGCGTAAATGACGCCGAGCAGTATTGAACTTTAATTAATGACGGCCACGGCGTTAAAGGATCTGTTCACGGCAAGGGTACGGAAAGTACGGCTACTGGTATTTTGATGGTTTGGTTCGGAGCGCGGGATTATCGGTTGTTTGTTTACACGTGCACGCGGAGACTCGCGTCTGTATGATTCTACCCTCAGCCATCTCATTATGTTGGAGGTGGTACACTAGAAGTGAGGGTCATTTCTATGCGATTATGTCCCCTGTATTCTTATCTTATATGACATGACAGAGTCTTACGACGTGTCATGGTTTGAAACAATGCTGGAGGGGGACGGTCGGCGTGTTTTTGGAGAGGGCAAAAGTCTCGGTTGTGGGCGAGGAAGGGTTGCGATTATACCACTGTCGCTGTTTTGAGTTATTCGATTTGAACTACGCGATGAACATTTTTTTTTTGAAAATCCCTCTTCATTCCGTGATAATTAATGATTTTCGAATATTCTGCGAGGCATGAGCGAGCGCGTTTATGTGACGCGCTGTCTTAGGGCTTGTTTACGTGGGTTGAGGTGAAGCGTGTCTCGACTCAGTCTTTGCCAGGGGGTTTTCACGTGGGTCGCCAACATGTTCTGACTGACGAACGAAACAACAGACTACGTGGAGGAAAAGGCGGTCTTGGGCGTCTAACTCTTTAGATGGGCATGAAATGAGCGCAATCTAATACGATAGTTGCCTGTCGGTGGTCTGAAACTGTAGAACATTTACGCGTCAGCCTTGTTCTGCGTGTAAGTGAGTCTTGGTATATTCGTATTCGTTTCTACTGAAGCACAAGTGTACATTCCAGGTCTTACTCGTCACAATAGACTTGTTGCTTCGAGACAAGAGCTTTCTAGTCAATCATCATAGTTGTCATTTTGCCTTGGCTGAGGTGTTGGCACTCGCCGCCATATCATGGTTGAGTGTGTCGCTGACCTGCTGGTGAGGAATTGTAGTCGAGAAAAGTGGAACCATGAAACTTTTGAGTTGGCACCCGTGGCGTCTCCCTAAAGAGACAACTCACCCCTCAAGTGTAGCTCATCCTGAGGATTGAGTACTAACCTAGGAGAACAGGAACAACTCAGAAAAGTCCTGGTAGAGATTGACTTTCAAAGATAACAAGGTGGATTATCTGACGGTCTATAAGGCCAAGATATAGAGTCTACAGTACTCTCCGCACATTGTCAGCAAGACACACATTGGATCTCAGCGTCTATTTCGAAACCGTATCGTCCGGGGCGTGAGATGAGACATTTCAGCTACAGATATCGACCTGTCGTCACAACTCACGTGCCTCAAGTCCCAATGTGAAGCTTAACCAAACGCTCGTACCTGTACTTCCTTGCAGCACAGATTACCGAGCGAAGAGCTATGGCAGTACGTATCCTGTTTGTAGGGACCACAATGCCCAACGTCAGCGGTATTTCTGCCCCTCGTAAGCTCCCGACTGGCCCGTGCTTCTTCATGCCCGTCAATGATCATCGCCTGTTCGTTCTGTTTCGTTCTCTTGAGTCGACTCTGTTCGTTGTCTCTCCCCTGTCCTATGCTGTCCAGTCCAGCCTAAGATAGGCTTCTGTTTCATGCCACGGACGGTTCATCCCCCTGAAAGTGACTCGATTCTGCGCTGGGTCCAGGCACCGTTAGCGATAAGGTATTGACCCTGAAGGCGCTGACGACCTCAACCCACTTTGGACGCCTCTTGAGTGGCATCGCCAGATTTCTTTTCCTTTCCCAGTGACTCAAGACCTCATTTGGTACAGGCAACAGTTCAGATTGTGTTTGCCTCAACATTCTTGCTGCGACGTCCCCCTCTAGCTCCTGACCGATCGTTCCGGGGGCCACTTGCTGCGCTGTGCTACGCCTGAACCTCATTTCCTCACAAGGCTACCTACCTACGGTACCTTACCTTCAAGACCTGTGCTTCATTGACCTCAAAAATCTACTATCGTCTTGTTCTGCCTTGTTTCCGTCTCATCTGCGCTGCACTGTTATTGTCGCTTCCATTGCCGCCTAATCTCCTCCACTCGGTTTTCCTGTCTTGGCCGCCTACCCAAGCTCTTGCCCGGCTGTGCCGAAGATGGCGGGCAGTCTCTGTTTGCATGCGCCTTGACCTATTATCGCATCAGAATCACCTCTGCATCTCCCCCGGTGACGCAAACGATAAGCTCGAACTATAGCAGAACGAGACGAGGCACGCCAAAAAAGATCACCTGAGCCGATCGCGCAGAGAATCTAGTCACTATGGCATCGTCTAATCCGTTTCGCAAGAGTGCTGCCATTACGGTAGACTCAGCTTCTTTTCCCAACTCAACATCCTCCGCCGCTTCTCGGTTCCCTGCTCTCGATCAAATTGAAACAGCATCTACTCCTCCGCCTCCGACCAGCTTCCAGCAGGCTGGCTCTTCAACAATTGACTCGAAATCTAACATTACCAAAAAAGTCCGCGTACTATCACCCCCGCCGCTGTCTCCCGACTCTCCCGAATGGGCATTTGCGGCACCTTCTATTGCGCAACAGACTGCGAACCAACGAAATGAGGACGATCCGTTCGATGCGACGTCTACCGATGATAGCGACCGCGAAATGGTAGCTGCGGCTGCCCGTGGCTATGCTCCGAATGGCGGTCAGGGCATAGGAAACCCATTCAGCAAGACATTACGCAGCGTTGATTCTCCCGTCGCAGAACAAAAGCTTGAGCATGAACGCAAAGAAGAAGGCCATGCGCTCAAAGCTGCTAATACGGCCAGAAGGTCTCTGGACGTCAATGCTTTCAAGAGATTGCTGATGACGGGTAATACGGAGTCGGACAAGTCTTCGCCGCCGAAAATCCGACAGTCGATGCCGCCACCAGCGAAAAACACAAAAGACCGACCGTCTGTTTTCCGAAGAATCTCACATGATGATTCCAGAGATATATCGCCCCCCGAGAATGCACTCCAAGAGGCATCTCTCATATCCGAAGAAGCCTCGGATACCCCGGAAGATGATATTGATCAAGAGAACGTTTCTGACTCAAGCGCTTCTGCCCAACTGAGCTCAAAGAACAGCAAGAAACCGCCGCCGCCACCTAGCTCTCGACATGGCAAGTCCATCAAGCTGGATCTGGTTGGTCAGGCATCTCGAGAACCTCTTGCGACACTGTCATCAGATATGAACAAACCGCTTCCGCCCGCGCCGGTGAGAAGAAGCATGGAAGAAGGAGGCGAGTCGCCGTTTGATCGTGAAGCAGCTGGCAAAGTTCCAGAGGCTGAAGGTGATGTGGGATTAGCATCGCCAGAACCATCAGGCGGCAGCCGAAAAGCAGTTCCTGCACCACCACCTCGACGAGGTCACGCGAGAGGAGAGAGCAAGGTCTATGCGTCTGGTCTAGGCTTGACACAGCAGCAATTTGTGCACAATGAAGAGAACTTGTCACGGTCATCGTCTATGCGATCCCGACCTGAGCACAACCGACGTGACTCACATGCAGCAGCACCTCCACCACCGCCACCAAGATCTCATCACACCTCAAGACAGTCGACGCAGATACCATCGGGGGTGGCCTCAAGCCTCACGGATCTGAGCCAATCGTCATCATCTCCGGCTCCATCCCTGGATGTCGATATGAGCACTACTTCCATGCCATCACAGCTGCGTCAATCCTCCACGGTCGAGTTAACACCACCGAGAGATACGCAATCAGGAACACATCAGCCCGCGACGATAACGAAATCTTGGGCTCCACCACCACCACCTGCGCGAAACACATCTGTTCGACGGCCTGCGAGTATCAGAAGTGTTGATAGCAGTAGCCGGCGAATCTCATTTGAAGCAAAACCTCATAATCAGATGGCACCCCCTCCACCACCTCGAAGGCAACGAGGCAGCAGCCGTGGCAGCGTCGATGGACCTCGGAGGACGAGTCTTGATGGTGTAGGGAAGGCTGGATCGAGTCAAGTGGCCGAGGAGGAGCCTGACAATGTCGCAGCGACAGTCGGCTCGGGTCCCACATCTCCGCAATCGGCAAACGAGCCAGGGAAGAGTGTTGACATCCTGGCTGACCTGGACGCCCTACAACGAGAGGTGGACGCCCTGCGGGGGAAACTAGGATGACGAGGTGCACGCATACATACGACGGAGATGCATGAAAGTGAATGGAAGCGTGTTGGAATGTGTTGATGGTTGTACAAAAGAGGAGCGTGGCGACATGCAGTCGAAGCTTTAGTCTTACTGGGAGTGGGAGCTGAGGACGAAGGAACGAACGAACATAATATGTATGGATGTGACATTATGCGGGCGTTTTGATGAACAGGACTCTGGCACGATAGAGTTGTGTGATTGGTCTTTGTTCTACTTTATCTGTATGGGAAAAGGTGTTGTAGATGAATATCATGATGTCAAGCATGGCGAGTTGATTGAGTTGTCAGAGACAGACATTATGTAGCATAATGGACGTGATGTTTGACGATCATGATGAGAGTTGAGGATTGTATGCATTCTGTCGTACTCCTAGATGACCGTGTTGGTGCAGTGCTCGCCTCTACTCAGCCACCAGGACACAGTACAGTACACACACACTGCCGATGGACTTAGATATGAGTCGTCAGGGACACCCTTGTTAGGAGCTAGCTGTTTAGTAGTTTGGCGTCTGAACCCCGAAGGATCCGTGACAGTTGAAACAGATGACCATGAAAGTGTAATTGTTTCTAGTGAGCACGAGAGCAATAACAATATCATTGTAAGTTTTTTGCGAAGTCTAATTAACCTCCTTCTACTTCTCTATTCTATTCTGTTCCTTTCCACGAGATAATGTATGTATATTTGTCGTCTGCTCACTCCGTCATGTCGTATTGGGCGACATGATCAACGTGGTGAGAGGGGAAGGGGGGCCTCTCTCTGGCTTGTGATTGGGGGCAATGATCTTCACTGCGACTAGGGGAATTTTGCCAGAGGGCGCACGGGATGGAGGGTTCTTTTTTTCGAGAAGGTCTGCCAGGGACAAGGATCTTCACTGCTACTGTACCTACTGTACCGAGACGCGAGAGTACGGTACCTCGAACAAAGACCAAGTAAGCTATCGTAACCTGTCCACTCGATGAGGCGAGTCGGTGAGGGGAAGGGCCAAAGCACGACATACCTATCACTTTATACAGATTAAAGATATTGAGATACTAAAAGTGTGTACTGTCCTTGTTGTGAGTTGGTGACTAATACCATGTACCTGGTTCATATGCCATACCATAATGGACAGGCGGTATATACTAGCAAGTTGATGTAACAGATCCCACTTGGACCCAGACAGTGACAGCGACCCCTCTTCTTCAAACGGTCAAACGGGTCGAGGTAGAAGTAAGTTAGAGCTAACACAAGCTGTAAGTGAGTGAGGGACCTTGTATGGATGGAGACGTCCCCATCGCGACAGCTCAGCTTGTGTCACGCTCTCTTCCCAAGCTCCCTCCCTCTCCCTCCCTCTCCTACGGTAATGCAATGCACTCAGCGCATTTACCAATCTATCTGAGGTAGGTATAGTACCTGTTAAATAACCCAGCAAGGTAGCACTCGCCTTATCTTACCTCACTCTTCCTCCTCTGTCTCTCCTCTTCTTCCTCTTCTCTTACATTATTTCCCTCGCTACTAAAACAACATCAACTTCCCTTCTTCTCTGCAAATGCTTAAACTCATCCCCCATAGACCTCGAGTTTCTCCTTGACAACAATCCTCTTTAATCTGCATCTCTCTTCTCTTTCTTCTCTTGTTGGACCCATCTCTGTATCTAAGACTCATCTACATTTACATGCCTCTTTGTCTCTTATACCGTCTCACCCGTGCTGTCTCGACACTTTTCACTTTGACTCTCTCATAAGATACTCGATCAATTTCACTTCCACTCATCACTCAACCCACAATGTGCTACGCCAACCTCGGAACTCTCATCTGTCAAGCCTGCGGCCGCCGCGTCGGCGAACAACCCGTAGGAACATCACCCTGCCTCACCGTCTGCGGCAAATACGTCTCACGCGTAACTGGCACCGTAGTCAGCGGCGAATGCGGTGTATGCAGCGATGCAAAAGAGCAGAGGAGCCAAATGACCGTGAGGCTAAACCGGGCTTTCAGCAAGTGACGCACCAGAGCTCCAATGCGGCATTATTCAACCCTCCAAGTCATCTGTAAGGTACCCTACCTGCTGTAAGATAGGATGGTAAGCTCTGCTTACACTATCTGGGAAAAAGACAACCCTGTACTGACATACTTATCAAGAGGCATTCAGGCTCTATCAAGGCCAAAATGGCATTGCCTGCAACTCGGCTCTTACGGGATGGTTATACCCGTACGAAAGCCGGAACTCATACAATGAGGCCCATACCGCCCACTAGTTTATTTCTGTTCGATAACATTTCCACGCTTTACGACTCATGGGCTTACGATTTACGGCGGCGTTCACGGCATGATGCTCAGTTTCAGTTTGGTACACGAATTAGATGGAGCATAAGAGTTACTTTCTGTGTTTGACGACAGCAACAGTCTTTCATTTCTGGGCTGTCTTTGTATTCTCACTACTACTATACCCATGATTACTACTAATCAATAAATTCACGATAACGACATGCTACTGCATGTACCACGCGACAGGGCGTTGTGTGGAGTTATCGTTGTCATGAGACCTTATGTAAACTGACGGTGTACACGAACGAACTAATGCGACCAGCACGGTAGTGCATGTTACTGATGCAGCTGCATTACCGAGGTTTCAAATCGTACTATACCTGACCAAGGGATTGTACCCGCTGGATTAAGATTGAATAGTCTTTGTGCTTATCTTGATGTGATCCTAGATACCGGGTCTGTATAATACTCGGCACTAAACTATCTCAAATAAATGTTGCTTATTATTCTATATGGCTCAAGTGTTTAGCTTTTTCTCTACATGCTGACTATGATTAGCAAGATGCCTCGACAGATTTAGTTCCTGTCGACCGATCACAGGCCTACAAGCCCTCGTACAAATGCCGCCGCAGGCGGTATTGAAGTAAACAAGACAGTGATGGTTCCAAACAGGCTCATAGACAAACTCGACAAGGCTGCAGCTCGAGGGTCCGTTCGCAACAAGACTGAAGTCGCGATGGCGCTCGAGTTAACACCTAGTGTCACTCCGCGGGTCACGTAGTCATCATCGGGGACTCGCAGCCAGCGCAATATGCGCGCCCCGAGCACAGCGCCCAAAATGCCACTGATGATGGCCAATGCAGCAGCAGTATTAACATCTCCTCCTAGGTTCACAGTCGCGGGGACGGCGAGCGCCAGCGTCAGGCTGCGCGATGCAAAAGCGAGGCTGCGGGCTGCCGAGATGCCGCAGGCGTAGCACAAGGGCGGGTATGCGAGCAGCGAACCAACACTGATTGCAACGTTGGGTATGACAATGGAGATGAAATGAGTGCGAAGCTCTCGTCGGTATTGAAACATGGGCAAGGCGAGAGCTACAATGCTGGCGTCGAGAAGGGTGCCGAAAACGTCACCGGCGCCGGGGAGAAGATCTTGCTTCGACGTTGCGTTGCGCCATAGCTGTATATACTTTGCGCCTGTGCGGTAAGCGTGAAGTGTTGTAGTCAAGCTATCACCGCGAATTTCCGCAAGCGCCCATATGACGAGGACTGTTGCAAGAGACGACACCAACACTGGATGGAGATATTCTTTCCATTTGGGTGTAACTGACAGTGCCCCGAACCAGGCGAGGACATTTACAGCAAGGTGAAGTGGCATAGCATAACCGGTCGAGTAATAGAGAGGAATGCCAATAAAGGCAAACAATCCTACGAATATGGCCACATCGAGATTTGCAGATATACGGGCCGCCCACAACTCAGCCTTTGGCGGTGGCAGAGGAATTTGTGTAAGAACAGTCGTCGGATTGAGAGCTTCAACGGCATTCACTGGGGCTTGACCATTTGCATAGTGATGCTCTTGAAGCCGTAATTGAGGTGGAGTCTGTGGTCGTGAAGGCGCCGCTGACGTTGGCTCCGAGTTCGGCGCGGATAGAGACATAAGCGGTATTTGAGAGCCAGCTCGAGATGCGCTCGTGCGACGTGATATGCCGGGAGAATTGAGATCTCCCGTTGAGAGATCTGGTGTTTGACGGCCGAGTTCCTCAGCGCGTTGGGACCTTGAACGCCTCGAGACACCACAAGCAAGTTGGAGACTGCGGGTGATCCAAGCTGCCATAGCCATCATGATAAAGAAGCCAATGACTAGAATTGTCAGAGAAGGGTCTATATGTGTTCCCGAAAGGTGACATACCAAAGATTGCAATAATGATCATGACTTCAATAATCCCAATAGGTGGACTGAGAGGCAACAGAACGAAAGACGGCGTAAAGAAGATGCCCATCCACCGAAGTGACCAGCCAGCCTAGAAAGATCAGACATGACAACCTCGTTATTGAAATACTTAGCCAAGACTTACAGGCACGTCAATGATATTAACCAGCTTTCTTGTCTTGTGGGTACCCAATAATGACTCACTTGCGATGAGAGCAAAGAAGAGTAACATCATACAAGTAACAGAAGCAGGAAAGGAGACGTTGAATTTGTAGAATATTGAATCAACTCCGAAGTTAACAGCGAGTATTATTGTAATGCCGAGTGGCACATAGAACCAAGCACGGACGAGCTTGGAGCTGTTCTTGTTAGCAGCCTGCATCGTGTTAGCCAAAGTTCCTTCTGATCAGTGATGGACTCACCAATCTGATGGCTTGCATCAATTGCAAAAAGTCACTGGTATCTGCAGCCATGATGCTCCCAGTATTTTGATAAGGATCATGATATTGTATCGAGGGAGCGATTGAAGTTAGTTGACCAAGTACCGAATGCCGGAAGACCCTGGTCATGTGCGTTAGTCCGGGCGATCCATCCATTGTCTAAGCTAAAGATAAGACAACATCAAATGTTTCAGTCAAAGGAGAATTATAGAGGCAGAATGAAATGCCCTTTTATTCACTGTCCTGTCTCGTATGCATCAGCTCGATTAGCCGAGATGTCATGATAAAAATGCAAGTGACGGACTTCAACTCCCGTGTCATGGGGCTCATGAAAAGGAACTGACGATGCACTTCCTCGGGAGATAAACCACCGAGAAGCAGGAACGGCTTTTCAGATTGAGGCTCTGGAAGCCAAAGATTGCGGCTCCTCACTTTTTAGCTGCGGAAATGTCTTTGCGGATATGATACCCCTACATCTCCCTGATATCACGATATACCGACCTTATTCATCACCCCATTATCCCATCATATCTCCCCTCGCTGGCCTTTTGTGAATTATGTGATGTGATGCTCAAGTCGGTCCGACGTTATCAGAGATGGATTCCTCTCTGCCTGAAGAGATAATCCAGCCAACAAAGGAAGATACAAGCATCACGTGTAGCCATCTTAAACCTGGATTCGGAGCGAGCCGAGCACGGAATCACAATCACGCGTCGAGACATGGAAATACCACGAAAATGCTTCAGCGAAAGGTAGCGTGCGGATCCGAAGATATAGACGTTGCATTGCATGGGCCGTCATTCAATTTGATGAGCCAAGAACAGGCGATGCATTCTTGTCCGGAACTGGGATGTCGAGATGACCATTCATGGGTAATATTCACTGTTGCCTGATGTGAAGCTTGATTAACACAATATAATACAGCGTTCTGCGCCAGGCTCGAGAAGTTCTCGAAATAGCCCCTACCAACACAGTCCACTCTCTCAACCAGCAACACCAACAGGTATCCTGCACCGGCTTGAGAATCGATTTCGACGAGCACAACCCTAGGAATCTCCGTTTGGATCGAGTCGATCAATATCATCAACTTCATTAGTTGAATCAACAGAAGGTTTAACATCTCAAGCTGGCAGAGAACGTAGACGAAGGGCACGCGACTCTGAAGTCAATCACGGTAACTCATCAGCCGAAGATTCGGTGCCGGTCATCTCGGCTCCGGTGGCGGAGGGCGAAGAAGGGACTCGCCAGTTGGCGGCAGCGGGGATAGTCTTGGGGACATTGGACCTCGACCGGTTGAGTCTCATGGCGAGAAGCGACGAGACCAAAGAGCAGACTGGAGAGGCATAATGCCAATGTCACTGTAATCTTCAGAAACGAGGCGTCAGGGGAGATTTCCTATCCGAGGCAGCTGGTCTGCAACTCTTGTCGATCATTGGATGTGAGCATAGAATATTGAATCATTGGGTACGTAGTAAGCTTTAGCTGTGCTTGACTGTATCGGTATTCAATCAAAAGACACCGATTCATTTATCGGCAAGATCTTCTTGGACCCGAAACAACCCAAATTGGGACAATGATTCTCATGTTTCAAGTATCGTTTACTCCAATTGGCTGTAGTTTTCGCTGTCTTCCTCGGTTCCGGGGTCCAAAAGCTGGGGTTTTAGTGACAGTCACGGCTCCGGCTCGCGTCGGATGACTTCATCTAGTGGGCTTCAATTGCCGGCGCCCTTTTGCCTGTCAACTCAAGCCTGAGATGCTGTATCTTTAACTACTCAGCTTCGCCTCGAGATTTTGATCAGATTCATAACACATCTCCCCATACAAATCGCCTTCCTCACCATGTTTCGCCCTATCCTCAGACAATGCGCTCGAAGAGCTGCTGTTCCTCTGCGACCATGCGCCACAAGGACCTTTGCCTCGGCATCAGGACCTACCTTCAACTGGGAGGATCCTTTGGCTTCGAATAACCTCCTGACTGAAGAGGAGCGTGCAATTGGAGAGACTGCAGAGAGATACTGCCAAGAGCAATTGCTACCCCGCGTTCTACGTAAGTTGTTTCAAAACCGTTTCCATAGACGCCACACTGACTTTCATGTCTTACAGAGGCCTATCGCGACGAGTCCTACGATCCCAAGATTCTCGAGGAGATGGGCGAGCTTGGTCTATTGGGCGCTACGATTGAGGGATATGATTGCGCTGGCGTGTCCTCTGTTGCTGGTGGTTTGATCACACGAGCTGTGGAGAGGGTGGACAGCGGCTACCGATCTGGAATGTCCGTTCAGTCTTCATTGGTGATGGGCGGTATCTTTGAGCATGGTACTGCCGAGCAGAAGGAGAAGTTCCTCCCCCAGATGGCCAAGGGTAAGCTCCTCGGTGCGTTTGGCTTGACAGAACCCAACCACGGCAGTGATCCTGGAAGCATGGAGACAGTGGCGAAGCCTCATCCTACTAAGAAGGGTTACTACTCTCTAAGTGGTTCAAAGACATGGATCACAAACAGTCCTATCGCAGATGTCTTGTTGGTATGGGCAAAGTTGCAAGACACCGGCAAGATTCGAGGTTTCTTGGTGGAGCGCAAGGACTGCCCACCAGGTACTCTCGAGACACCAGCTATCAAGGACAAGAACGGTCTTCGTGCCTCAATCACTGGCATGATCCACCTTGACAATTGTCCTGTGCCAGATATCAACATGTTCTCCGACGTTGAAGGTCTACGAGGCCCCTTCAGCTGCCTGAACAACGCTCGATACGGTATTGCCTTGGGCGTCATGGGGGCTCTCGAGGACTGCATCGCCCGTGCCCGAACATATGCTCTCGAGCGCAAGCAATTTAAGGGCAACCCCCTAGCCAAGTATCAACTCGTTCAGAAGAAGCTCGCCGACGCGACAACAGATGCCGCCTACGGCACACTCGCCGCCATCCAGGTTGGCCGTCTCAAGGACGAGGGTAAGGCCACGCCCGAGATGATCAGCATGGTGAAGCGACAGAACTGCGATACCGCTCTCAAAAACGCACGAGTCCTCCAGGAGATCTTTGGAGGCAACGCGGCGAGTGATGAGTACATGATTGGCCGACATGTGGCGAATCTCTATGTGACACAGACTTATGAGGGCCAGAGTGATATTCACAGTGAGTTTACCTGCATGACGGGAGTGATTATTGCTAACAGATATTACAGGTCTTATTCTGGGACGTGCTATTACTGGTATCCAGGCATTCGTGTAAACGAGGAGTGATTGGCCAGGAGGTGTGATATAAAAGAACCATTGAGGTGCATACCCGTGTTATAGATGCTTGGAAATCAAACATACGGTTTCCAGTGCAAGGCATTTAGCCAATCGTTTAATCTGGTTTAGATGGCCTTAAAACAGTAGCATGACTTTGACGAATAACAAAAGACAATTCACCAGAATAGCATTTGTCAGGTGTGTTCTTGCTCAGAAGTCGTGAACTTCGATGCTTGGTGTTTGAAACCCACTCAGTCTGGATTGTTATCAAAATGAACCCTCACTATGGCTCAGAATCAGTGACGTCGTTAGTCTCTAAGGACTGTCATTAAACTGGCCAGTGCGCAGTGATGACAACTGTGTATGACTGTGACTGTCGACCACCAGCCGGTGATGCCGTCAAGTTCCACGTCCGCTTCCGCTTCCGGGCCCGGGCTCGGCAGCGTTAATTCAGGTACTGTATGCATCTGAATTCCTGCCGTCATTCCCGTGGCAATCACGTAGAGGGAGGCTAGCTAACGTTTGTATATATCATCAATACACGAATCATGAGTCAACGAGTGGTCAAATACTGTGAGGAAGCATCTGGAAGTTATGGCAAAGGCAAAAAGTCGATAGGTACTCTCTCAAACTCTCCCCTGCTGGCCTCGACCGCCACCTGAATATTATTACTCACCGCTGCCAAATCTTCCCCTGAACCTGAGGTTGACTGCCTGAATCTGAAGGTAGTACAGCCTCGTGAATGCTGTATAATCTTATTGTCATGTGTAAATAAGCATCGAAACCCGGCGAAGAACAGTTTAGTGACTACCGTTCAAAAAAGCCAAGCCCGCTACGGGTTGCCCTCCACTGTATCAGGGCCCAACGTAAAAATCTGTAGCCAGCTGTTAGTGCTCGGGTACCGCTAAACACTGATTCGCCCTCAGCAGTGGCGGTGTCCCCCCCTTCTGGAGCGGCGCCCAGCTGTGGCCCAGTCACAGGCGATGGAGGGCCTAAAAAAACCTGACTTTTCGGGCTGCCACTCCCGTCTCGTCTGGAGGTGCCAGCGCAGCCACTCTCCAGCCAGTCACTCACCCGCCCGGGCACGTACCAGCACCGCACGCATTCACTCCTTCCCTCCTGCTCCGCTTCTGGGCTCTCTCTTTGTTGACCCTCTTCCCCTTCTTCCCTACCCCCATTTGAACGAACCATCTTCCTCCAAATCCCGCCTCTCTCTTCTACTTTCTTCAGCCTCGACTGAATTTCTTTTACGCTTACATACTCCGACTACCCAAACAACTTTCTACCACAAACATCCATCATAAAACAGTCTCCGTGCACTGTTTTATCCCAGACGATCTTTGCCATCAATCGTTATTGTGCGTCCTTTCCTTCGAATCCTTCTTCCTTCCCGACCGCTCGTCCTGCAACCCTTCGACTAACATCTTTGTCCAACCTAGAACGACGGCGATACCTCGCAACAAACCCTTTAGATACCCCCTCTACACATCACAAAATGGCTCTTAAGCGCATTAACAAGGAGCTCACTGATCTCGGCCGGTAAGTTCTCTCTCTTCACAGGTCTGAGGGGTCAACCAGAACGCCCAAAGACGTCAGGTGGGGGCACTTGGTAAGCGGGGTCCTTAGTGACGACCGACGATGCCAAAGCCCTCGATGACTTCAAAACCTCATGGCTGTCTACTCTTGATGATGAACCTGTGCTGACTTTTCTCGTGCAGAGATCCACCCTCTTCTTGCTCTGCCGGCCCTGTCGGCGAGGATTTGGTAGGCATCACCCCTCCCCCACATTGATAAGCACGTGGCTGTCAAAGGCGTCATGACTGCCGCAAGCCTCTTCCCAGGAGGAACGAGATATCATTTTTGAGCGTACGGCTAACAAATCTGAACAGTTCCACTGGCAAGCTACAATTATGGGACCTGTAAGTTTACCCCTACGTGCTTCTGGATGCGCTGCCTGCTGAGATGGCTTATGGGCGTGGCGAAGCCCTCAGCCGCACGCCGGTGCAGCCGCATCTGCATTCGACAAACAATCACAAGAACAAAGTGGCTGACCAGACCTCACAGAGCGATTCTCCATACTCCGGCGGTGTCTTCTTCCTGGCCATTCACTTCCCTACCGACTACCCTTTCAAGCCTCCCAAGGTCAACTTCACTACCCGCATCTACCACCCAAACATCAACTCTAATGGTAGCATCTGCTTGGATATTCTGCGTGATCAGTGGAGTCCTGCGTTGACCATCTCTAAAGGTACGTTTGATGCGAGAACCCTTTTGGCCAAGGCCTATTGCTTACATATATACCAGTGCTTCTGTCCATCTGCTCGATGCTGACAGACCCCAACCCTGACGATCCTCTTGTGCCCGAGATTGCCCATGTCTACAAGACTGACCGACCCCGATACGAGGCCACAGCTCGGGAGTGGACTCGAAAGTACGCCATCTAAAGCGAATACCAGGGCCGGTGCGGTTAGACTTGGGGTGGTTTCATCTCCCCTATCATGAAGCGACGTGAAACGAACGAGTGAAAGCTTCGTATGCTGTTGCGAAATGTCTATTAGTCGGCGATACCTATATGGGTGCTTTGCCTGAACCGGGGCTTTGATTGCGATTATGAGGCAATGAGCGACGATACGAAGCGACCTGAGGGGAGGAACAACTCCAGACAAACAGACTAGTCTAGTAAGGGATATCATGCGGCTGGATGTTGGGTTTGCATTGACGATGTGTTTTTGGCATCCAGAAACAGGCAGCGTATACAATTCGTCTCTCTATTTGCTATGGCTCCGGTGCTTTTGTTGTGTTGATACTGAATCTTGGTGACATTGTGAAGTTTGATTCGAAGAGTCGAAAGTAATGGCCCAATGGGGGTTTATGAAGCGCCAGCATATGGCAATTCGCACATGAAGGATACGTCATGGTGAAAGCTGGCGGCTATGCTGAGATGAGTGTGATTAAGCGCTGACAGGGTTGAGGCTGGTTGACACGGCTGGTAATATGACGGGCGCTAGTGGTCAGGAACTTGGGTTCATCCAGCATCTGTCGGGGTGGAGATCACAAGGGAGATTTACAGTTGGTCCAGAGTGTTTCTATAGGCGATGTGATGATTTCTACTATGGAAGTTGTGCTGGAGATGCCAAACTGAAGTTGAATGAGATTGGTTCGTCAGATAGTTGCAGTTTGTATGAGAAATACGAGCTGCCCACATATATCACGGCGATGACGAATGTGTTTGGAGATGGTACATGTCTTGGAAGAGAAGTGAAACGCGGCAGAGACAAACCTGGAACGATGTGATATAGGGCAGAGATTTAATATATTGTTTCTGAAATATGAGTGGGGGGTTGTTTAAGAGCGGCTCTTGGCCTTTGGAGCAGTGTCTGGGATCGAGTATCGAGGAAAGTTAAAGAGTTACACTGTTATACGCTCTATTGTGTGCTCTATTATATGAGAAGGGAGAATGCCAAGTTGTGATATCCAAACAATTAATTGCTTGTGCATTCAAGGGTCATTATGTGGGAGAGATAATGATAGACTTGCAGGGGAATGATAAGACAGCCAAGCACCAATTTTCTCAGCAACTCGTAGGGATGAAGAGATTCTCCAAAATCACATCTTGAATGCATCACAATCGTCAGTTGAACAATGAAGCTGTGGTTCTGTATCGTGGGAATAGTTGAGGTGCCTCAATGGTCGTGCCATTCATGGGTCGAGATTTAGAGTCTTTGGCCCCACTCTCGGTGCGACATGCCAGGGAGGGCCAAGTCTTGTCAAACCTGTAACACCGGGGTTTCAGACGAGAACAAGCGTTGACGAGGACCAATCACAGACTACCATTGCTGAGTTGACAGTGAAGGACTCGTGCTGACTTGTGCTAGAGATGCAGACGAAGAGTTAGTTATTGAATAGTATCTCACTTCTAGAGGCTCTCAAAGTTCCAATAACTAGTAGAAACACAAAGAATAACTACTCAGATAGAGCCAGTTGTAAAAGTTCATGACCACAGCCCCTGAGGCAGAGTCTGTTCGGTTGAACCATGCCTGATACATAACAACTCCTTAAATGGCGTGTTCTCCAAACCCACGTCTCGCTCTCCCCATCTCGAGTCTGTATCTACAGCCTCTCGCTAGAATCTTTAGGTGCATGCCAAGCGCTAACCCCGGACACTCGCCGTCTGTGCCTGGTATCAAGTCCGGTCGCCAAACTCCGTTTTTTCTCTGGGAGAACACGCAAATAAAATCATCTCATTCATGTTTTAGGCCCCCTTGAGTTTCAACGGCTCGAATTTCCCTTTTTCTTCTCTGGTTCTTTAGACCCTTGCCTTGCTTTCTGCCTCCTCCCCTCTTCTCTCCCTCATTCACTCTCTTGTTTTTTTACTGTCGACAAGTCATGGTTCGATGAGAAGTTGTGTTTCTTTTAATCTTGAGGCTCTAGACAGCATTTATTCTTATTCTTCTTCTTGTTCATATTATACTATTTAAACTGTTTCATTGGGTACGAAAATTCAACTGTTCAGCTGGTTCTGAATAATCGATACTGTCGTTCAAGGTGGTTATTGGGTTTCGAGGAACGAGGAGCGACAATACGACGAACACCTATCGAAGGAAAATCGGACAATTTTTAGTCGGTTGACTCAACCGACTCAACTCGCCCTCGCTCAAGATGAGCTATCAAATGCAGGATTGGGGAGAGAAACCCTCAGAGCGATCACGATGGACTCCCCTAACGCGAATGCTGCTATCGGGTGAGATGACCCAAGAGAAGCAACAGGAACTATCGTCAAGAGAAAAGTTTGATCGCTGGATGATCAACGAGGGTTATCGAAGATTGTAAGTTCACTGGCATCAGATAGTGATTCAGACTAACATACCGCAGCTTCGTCTTTGTCTTTATGCTTCTTCACGCACTCATCTTCTCCTTCGCATGCGTCCACTACTCTCAAAAAGAGAGTCTCAAAACCTCCAATGAACTCTTCGGCTTCACCTTCGTCATAGCTCGTTCAGCCGCTCTGGTTCTTCATGTCGACGTCGCCGTCATTCTCTTCCCCGTCTCTCGAACCCTCATCTCGCTCCTTCGACAGACACCTCTCAATGGAATCCTCCAGTTCGACAAGAACATCACCTTCCACATCGTCACCGCCTGGTCTATCGTTTTCTGGTCTTGGGTCCATACCATTGCTCACTGGAATAACTTTGCGCAGGTCGCCATCAAGTACAAGCTTGGTATCTACGGCTGGTTGGTTGCCAATTTTGTGTCTGGACCTGGTTGGACTGGCTATGTCATGCTTATTGCGCTGATGGGTATGGTTCTCACATCGACCGAGAAGCCTCGACGAGCAAACTTTGAGCGCTTCTGGTATACTCACCACATGTTCATCGTTTTCTTCTTCTTCTGGTCTATCCACGGAGCTTTCTGTATGATTCAACCAGATGTTGCACCCTTCTGCACCAGCGTTGGCGCATCGGCCGTTGGAGTCTTCTGGCAATACTGGATGTACAGCGGTTTCATTTACCTGGCCGAGCGTATCGCACGCGAGGTGCGAGGTCGTCACAGGACATACATCACAAAGGTCATTCAACACCCAAGCAATGTTTGCGAGATCCAGATGAAGAAGGAGCACACAAAGACACGAGCTGGGCAGTACATATTTTTGTGCTGCCCTGCCGTCTCGCTATGGCAGTACCATCCCTTCACTTTGACCAGTGCCCCTGAGGAGGACTACATCTCGGTCCACATTCGTTGCGTGGGCGACTTCACCAAGGAGCTTTCCAAGGCTTTGGGTTGTGATTGGAGCAAGAAGAGGGAACCCGGTGGCAACGATTCCAGCAAAGTCGTTGGTTTGACTGGACGCGACTCCGAGATCGATCCAGCTATCCGCCGTGTTCTCCCCAGAGTCTACGTCGACGGTCCTTTTGGTTCTGCCTCCGAAGATGTCTTCAAGTATGAAGTCTCGGTGCTTGTTGGTGCAGGTATCGGTGTTACACCGTTCGCCTCCATCCTCAAGTCCATCTGGTACCGAATGAACTACCCCCAGAAGAAGACCCGCCTAGCCAAGGTCTACTTCTTCTGGATTTGCCGTGACTTTGACTCCTTCGAGTGGTTCCGCTCACTGCTTCTGGCAGTCGAAGCGCAGGATCTGGACCACCGTATTGAGATTCACACCTACCTCACAGCCAAGATCAAGGCCGACGATGCGACAAACATCATGATCAACGATGCCAATGCCGATAAGGATACCATCACTGGTCTGCGCAGCCCAACAAACTTTGGCAGACCCAACTGGGATATGATCTTTAGGGGTATCAGGAAGCTGCACAGTCCTGCTGAGGCGGGTGTGTTCTTCTGTGGACCCAAGGGATTGGGAAGTTCGCTGCATACTTATTGTAACAAGTACACCGAGCCTGGGTAAGTTTCTATGCTATTATTGATATGGGAGAACCTCAGCTAACTTGATGCAGATTCTCTTTTGTTTGGGGCAAGGAGAACTTCTAAACTTTGTCTCTACCAATTTCATTCAAGTCAAGGCAAGCGGATAGTCAAGTTTGTAATGTTGAAAGGAACACGAAGCATGGGGTAGATTTACTGCAAGACCATACCTGGTCTATGTTCTTGTTGAGTTATCATTTTAATACCGTAGAAACAGATGTTGCATCTCACCAACCAATACAACCATTTTTTTTTGACAAGATCAGCCACATACTTCCTGTTCACTATTGATCAAGGACTGTCTGTTATGGGGAGAGTAGTGTAAAGCTCGTGATTGAATCGAGGCGCAGCTGAAGAACTGACCACTTGGAGTGCTGACGTTGGACACTCCATTCCATGCATGCCACATCTGACCCAGATCTCGTCTGAAACGTTTCACAAGCCTGGAAAGTATCCTACAGCCACAGCTTACTGTTTTGAACATAGAATCCTAAAGACGATTCTTACTACGAGTTACGGGTATAACGGCAGATGAGAATGATGCTCCCTCGATCTTGATGATCTCGGACAATGTCTGATTCACCGAAGATTTGAAAGCGTCAGTAATCAGAGAGGCAAAGACAACATGCCATGACCAAGAATTCCATGCAGGGTCTAGACGCGGGATGCAGAGTCGAAATAACATTTTTAGACAACGACTGATATGTGCATGTCTCACCACCCAGCAACGTGTTCGAATACCAAGACCGGCATCAGTGGCTGGAGATAGGGAGATGGAGGCACCGATATAGAGACGGGAAAGACTTTAAGATGCATGGTTGTATCGTATGCATGTGTCCATATGCATTTGTGCTGACGGTCAGGCCGATGCAACCATCCAATTGATTGAGAGTTTAGGTGTGAAGACCCTGAAGATCTAATGCTGAAGTCTAATTAACAGTGATCGTGTCGTGTCAATATCGGGTATGGGAAGTTAATCAAGAGGCCTCGCTAGACGAAGCCCTTGTCGACTCTATCTTAGCTCAGACTCGAGCGACAGTGACAGTAGCATCCAATTCCACGGTTGACCCAACGGAAATCGAAACAAATTGGATGGCAGAAGGGTTCCATTTTGGGGTCAGACCCTGAGGTCCTCGAGTCGCTGAGCCTCGTTCATTGGACCCGGACCCGTCATTTCTTCAGTGGAGGCCCGCCTCGGACATGGCCCCGCCCCGCCGCTAGCACAGGCCACTTCAATCAGAAGTCCACTGGAACCTCGTTAGCCTGTCAAAATACGAACTGGGACTTTGTTACTCATGACCACTCGGGAGATTGATGTCATTCAAAGTGTCAGGGCGATCGAGTACCATGTAAGTGGAATTATAGAATATTCAATTTGTGCTCTCAGTTTGACAGTTACATTTCTATACTGTTGAGAAGCCGAGGTAGCATTAAACTGATCCAATCAATGCACACTCAGCACACTCAGCACACTCAGCAACACACAAGCATAAACGGTTCAACGCCTCTTTCTTAGCTTCTCGCGCCACTTCCCTGTTGGATGGTAGCTGTCGATAGTCTGCAGCAACCAAACCAAAAAAAAAGGTCTCAATCGTGAAAAATTCCCTCTATCAACCCTCTTCGTCAGTCTTGTTGCTTGGTTATTCGAAACTAAAAGTGATTATCATTTCTGGGCATCTGTCACGTTTTTGCCTCGCCCTGTAAAGATCAGCAGGAGATGCATTGACGACAGGTCCACGCTACTTGCGCATCGTGTATACCTCGTAAATAGAACACTAACAATCTCAAAAGAGTTGGGGTGCAGCGCCATGACAAACGAGCTAAACCGTAAGTAGTATCTTGCCAGGGGCTTTGATGCCCATTTTGTCTGCTGTACAAATTGCGAGGTCAATCCCAGCGTGCCACGCACGTATTGCACAGCAGAACCTCTAAATGAGGCTGTAGAATGGCTTTTTCACTGTTAATATCATCTCTCTTGTCTAGATGTCTGTACGGAGTAGAGTATTGTATAATTGCTTATCATCGGCAAACCGTTAACCGTTTCGCTGTAACAACCTAAACATTGTCATTCGTCAACTGAAATCGTGTCTCCCCCAATCAACAGTCATCAATGCATGGAGTTCGCTGTCAAAAGTGCAAGGATTCAGTACTTCGCCACTAAGTACCCTCTACACTTAAGAGCCCGTTCCCCGTACACGCACCTCGCTCGCTGCAGCAAGCAAATTTTTAGTGTGGCCGGCGTCGCGCAAATCCGCTCTTCCCGCGCCATTCATTCCCAGTCCCCTTCATCACGAGCCTGGGTCCCCCGTCTCTCGTTTTGGTCATTCACTCACTCACTGTAGTATTTGCACCAGCAACTGGCACGCACTGCTACTACGCCTCTTCTTTCATCCTTCGTTTTCCTTCTCGTCTCACCCAAACTAACACAATACGAGTCGAGTAGTTATTCACTAGAATACTGCTTGGTCCTGCTCCTACTGTTTTCTAACACTCGTTACTGTCTCCCTTTTTTCTTCTTCCTCAATTCTTTTTCCTTTTTTGTCCTTTGCTTTACGCGCATTCGCTGTTTGCTGCCGCGCGTGCCTTTCGTACTCCTTATCCACATCGCACAAGCCGAGACAATCCAGCGACATTTTGCTCGACTTGACGACCGCTTGCGCCCTCTCCCCTATCAGACACGAGACACTAGAGACCTCTTTTTATCTGAGACGGTCGCTGCTTTTCCTCATTGGATTTGTCTTTCCTTGTGCCGAACCCTCCTGGGTACTCCGTCTCCTTACCCGCCGTCACCCAGCACCTCATATCGACAGCTTGGTTGAATTGACGACAACACCGACCGTTCAAGATGCAGCTTCGACGATTCTTGCTTCTGGGTATGCTCCTCGGAGCCGAGGCCACTCAACTCGTTGCTCGTCAAAATACCAACTCCGACTCTGCTGCCGCTCCCTCAACCGATTCCTCTCCCGCGAGTACTGCTGAAGCCGATCCCACGAGCGACGACTCTGCTGCCACTACTGCAGCAGAACCTACTACCGCCGCCCAACCTACCGACGATTCTAGCACCGCTGACGGATCTACTACTGATGGATCTTCTGATGGAGGCTCAACCACAGCTGAGGATGTCACCGTTACCAAGACGGTGACTGTCACTGATGCCAATGCCAAGACCGTGAGCCGTCAGACTACTGTCATGAAGACAATTACATCCACTGTCGTCGTTACGTCGACTGCGTTCGATACCAAGACTGTTACTAGCAGCGACGCTGAGACCGCAACGACTACGACCTACGTTACCTCGACAAAGTGGGCTAACGAGAAGCGTGCCCTTGATTTGGCTCCTCGAACCATCGGCGGTGTTGAACTCGTTGCTCCTGCTTTGCCTACCTATACTACTACCACCAGTGCTCCTCCTCACTTCAACGCTCAAATCGAAGGTGAACACTACGGTCTCCGAGCCTTCCGACGAGGTCTTCACAAGCGTGCCACGACCACCACTACCGTTACTGTGACGGACGGCGGCGGCGACTCCGATACCACTGTCTTCAACACTATTTCCCGAACCGTTATTTCCACCGTCAGCAGCCAGACCAAGATTACCAAGACCATCACCGAGACCGAGCAGGCAGGTGCTAGTACCACCGTCACTGTCACCAGCACCCTTGTTGTTACATCTACTAGAGTGACCACTGGTGTTGTCCGCACAGCGACTGTTGCTCCTTCTGGAGAGTATGGTCCTTCCGGTACTGGCGGTGCCAGCTCTGATAACAACAGCAGCAGCAACAGCAACGATGGAGGCCTCTCTACAGGTGCCAAGGCTGGAATTGGTGCTGGTGTTGGTGTTGCTGGCCTTGCCATCATTGCTGGTCTCCTTTGGTTCTGTCTTCGCAAGCGCCGCAATGCTAAGAACAAGGCCGAGTATGACGATGTCTTTGGCGCCTCCGAGGTTCCTGTTGGTGGCCGTGGTGGTGGCGGCGCTGCTGCTGCTGCCGGTACCAGCCCCCACATGTCCCAATCAACCGCCGCCGCCTCTACTCTGGCTCCCAGTCGCAACACCACCAAGTCTGAGGGCTACCGTGGTACTGCTCTTGGCGATGGACGTGCCGGTTTCGCCAAGCCCCAGCAGTTCGGTCGCAGCTACATGCCCGTTAGCCCCGAGACCAACTACTCCCGCACTGCTGGTAGCGACCAGGCCTATTCAGCTACTACTCCCGAGAACAACTACGCACACCCTGTGGGCGGCTCTCCCAACCACAACGCTGCTGAGATGTATAGCCCTGCCAATACAGCTGAGCTGGCCAGTGACAGCGCTGCTACCAAGTGGCATCAAAACGATGCTGCCGAGATCGATGGCAACCAGGTTTCAAGCGCTCGTGGAACAGCACCTCCTGAGAACGTTTACGAGATGCCCGCACAACCCTACAGGTAAACGATGAGGTTGCCAGATGACCAGTACAGTGGCCACTGGTAATGGAATGGATGGATGAGGAAAACTTCAAGATTCGATGAGACTCCCCCTTGTAGCTAGAGGGAGGGGAAATAATTAATGTCAGATACTGTACATATTGTAAACCCTTACTTTTTTTCCTTGCGTATGACGAGATCACACCGGTAAAGCGAACAAGAGCGGGAGATGATGTCTCCCATTGCATGACTTGTATATCTTCCATTGCTACCATTTTGGGTTCAACAGAGTTGTGGATGATTTGAGGTGTTGAGGTGGATTAGATACGTGGATGCAATAAAAAGAATTAAAATCTGACAGCCTGAAGATGTTAGTTACTGTGTGAATAGATCTATGTTTTCAGATCTCGAACTTCAACCACTCTCTGTCCAGTGGAGGTGAGGCAGATTTTGACTTCTATTTGTTTGAGGTCCAACGTTGTAACGTATTCGGCACTGCTCTTAACGTGACGTTATTCCCGCTGATTGATTAAGGTTCAAGAAACTCAACTCTAATGGATTTATCCGTTCGATAGATCGACTCAGTCTGCAGATAATGTCCGTTATCGGTGACGCCACTTGATGTCGTGCATCCAGAAGAGAACATGTGCAAGACAAATACTTCAGCCAAGCAACGGTATCTAACGAGGAATTCGATCATCAAGCATAATTTTATAGGCATCATCATCATTGACTCTATCCTAAGCTTTTTTCTCTGATCATCACGACCTCATATTGACCAAAGTCGCCACAACTTGAGTTCTCGAACAAAAAAAAGGTCGAACCCACTCTTCCTATCAATTATCGAAACACCCAAAGTCACATCCTATCTTTATTCTATAATATTACTACCTCACGAGGGAATTAAGAAGCGACTACTCGGCTTAATTCACTCTTGTACAACCGGAGAAGTTTCGGATGACCTGATCTGAAAGCGGAGCTATTACGAAAAAAATTCTGAATAGTGTCGTACTATATTCTTCTTCTGGTCCTTCTGCCTTTTCTATTTCTTCCGTTGTCTTTCTGTCTATCTTTTGCTTTATCCTCCACTTTACATGTTCTCATGCGCCAAGAATCGCCAAGCATAGGCCTAATCTTTTAAAAGATTGTCGTGAGTGGGAGGTATTTTTCCCCATTCTCGCTATCATCTGAGGATATCTGCTTCCTTTGCTTGGTTGCATTGAGCAGGGATTCGTATTTTCCTGCTATAAAGCGAAGGGACTGGGAGGACTCTGCTTTGACTGTGAGTTCTTCTTGAAAATCCTTACTAAAGACTGTTACTCATGACTCCTCCAGAGATAATTAGTATGGCTTCGAAAGACGGCCAAGATAGTACGCCCAGGCGTCACAGTCTTAGCGATGAGTGTGACACCAACTCAGCTGCTGATGAGAAGAGACTTGTTGCGAAGCTGGACTTCTACATCATTCCTCTTGTAATGGTGCTGTACCTCTTCAGTTTCCTAGACAGGTAAGTTACGCAACTCACTCACCGAGTCCCTATGACTAATTCGGAACGAATAGAGTCAACATTGGTAATGCCCGACTTTACGGACTTGAAGAGGATCTGAACCTCTCGTCGAGCCAGTTCCAGGTTGCCGTGTCCATCCTATTCGTCACATACTTGCTCTTCGAGGTTCCATCCAACCTTGTCCTTAAGCTCTTCACCCCTCGTCGATGGATCGCATTCATCGCTGCTGCATGGGGAATCATCGCCACCCTCACCGGCCTCGTCAACTCATATGGTGCTTTGATTGCTTGTCGTCTACTTCTTGGTGCCGTTGAAGCAGGTCTGTTTCCTGGCTTGACGGTGTACCTCACTTTCTTCTACACCAAAAGAGAACTCGCCCTTCGCGTGGGTTATCTGTTCGTCAGCGCGGCAGTCGCTGGAGCTCTTGGCGGTCTGCTGGCATATGGCATTGGACATATGGATGGCCTCCATGGTATGAGCGGTTGGCGATGGATCATGATCATTGAAGGAATTCCCAGTTTCCTGCTTGGTGTGGTCACATACTTCGCTCTGCCTAATGATGCGGAGACGGCCTACTTCCTCGACGAGAACGAAAGAGCCCTTATGCGGTTGAGACATGCCCGTGAGTACGGAAACACGGCTTCCAGTCGTGAGTTTAGCAAGAAGGACATGATGTGCGCCTTTAAGGACTGGAAGGTTTGGGCGTTTTGTGTTGCGCAGTTTGGCGTCGACACTATGTTGTATGGTGAGTTTCGATATCCCTCGACCTCAGCACGCAGCCCACTAATTGATATCCGCAGGGTTTTCAACCTTCCTCCCGACTATCATTAGAGATCTCGGTGATTGGACGGTTGCAGAGACACAACTCCTTACCGTGCCTTGCTACTTCCTCGGTGCAGCGGCGTACATGTCGACTGCATTCCTGTCAGATAAGCTTCAACAGCGTGGACTTTTCTGCGTAATCTTTGGAGTCATCAGCGTTGTTGGATATGCAGTCCTGCTGGCTGATGTGTCTTCTGGCGTCCACTACTTTGGCTGCTTCCTCGTAGCTGGAGGCTTGTACGTTGTTGTGGGCTTGCCACTGGCTTGGGTAAGTTGAGATAGTCTCGATGGCAAATTATAGTGAGCTGACTGAGTTGTTTAGTTGCCCACAAACTCGCCGCGCTATGGAAAGCGTACTACCGGTACGGGAATGCAGTTGACTTGGGGTAATGCGGCAGGCATTATGTCTGCATTCATCTAGTAAGTCCTGTTATTGACTGTTGTCGTGAATTCAGCTAATCTTGACCAGTCCTGCTTCAGACAAGCCTCGATATATCCGTGGGCACGCTGTAACGCTCAGCATGGTTGCTCTCGGCACCGTCATTTATGGATTTATGTGGTGGTGGTACCGACGAGAGAATGAACGACGACAGGCAGGTCTTATGGACGACAAGTTTCGAGGAATGGGAGAAGATGAGTTGGCTGAACTTGGAGACGAGAGTCCACGTTATAGATATACCATCTAAAGGGGATCTGATAAGAGGATAATGAGAACTTAGGGTTATGAGGGACGAAATCAAGGTAATGGAGGATATTGCATGAAAGGGATATACATAATGAGAACGGCTGTTGATTATTGAGGATAAGAGACAGAAATGAGGGTTTAAACATGAAATACCTACTGTAGGTAGAGATGATTGACGGTTCAGAGCAGAGCCTCAGGTAACACCGAGGAGAAGTACCGGGACTAAATGGCGCTAATGTCCGTTATTAGTGGCTTGATGAGCTGCATCGTTCGTTGCTGGGGAGTTTCACATGGTTTAGAAAGCAATTTATTGGCCAGTTACATTTGGTATTCATGGCGTATCATCGAATCACATGTTATGGTATTGTACTTTGGCCACTTTCAGCTCAGCTGTACGCAGAATATTTTGGTTAAAGGAATTGCCAGCACGTCAAATGTTGCTGTTGGGGCTGTGTACGTCAGCTGTTGAATGGTTGCCATAATCCATCAAGTAGAGTGGTGTCGTGTAATAATGGGGCCAATGCGTGCATATTGAATACGAGGTCTGGGCTGTGTTGAAGAATGTCGCCTGAAATATTGTCAACAGTTGAAGACACTCAAGAGCATTATACTAGGCTGTAGGTCTTGACCATTCAGTATCATTGTATTGAATAACTTTCAAGTGTACTGTCCCGCGTGTAAGTGCTGGTTTGCGTCGATATCAGGGCAGACTGAGCAGCACATGTCATCAGACTCCAGTAACGTTACCGGGCAAGAGTAAATAAACAGCCCAAATACCAACAGACTCGCCACTGGTCATTGATCGATCCTCTGAGACATCCTCAGTGGAATAATGCGATGTACCCCAGGATCACAGTGGACGTCCATTGGCACTAGCGGACCCTAGTTTCCAAATTTAGGTGCCCAAGTCACGCTCTAGCGTCGAAAAACGGAGGCTTAACAGAGACTACCGACTCTTCCCATGTTCCCCTGTTTTCTTCCATGTCTCCATTTCCACCTGCTTCTGCTTCTGCCTCTTCTTTTGCATCCTTACCTTCTAACTAATTCCTTCTTGGGTGCTATTCACTTTCGTTATTGGCCAACTCAGTCTACAGTCTCTCGCTTGTCTTCTCTGACAGTTGGAATCTATACCACTCCTACTATATTCGATCGTTGTCTTGGCATATCCCCTATTCCTCCACTGATCGACTCAACAATCCATCTTCAACACTTCGAATCATACAACACTTAATAACTCGACATCATGCGTTTCACCAAGCACGTCCTCCCCATCGCCATCCTCCTCACCGGTGTCATCGCCGCCAAGGACGAGCAGTCTACCACTGCCGTCGAAAAGGCCAAGGCTACCGACGACAAGGCCTCCGCGACTGCCGACGACTCCAAGACAGCGGACGCGACAGAGGAGGCTTCTGCAACTGCTACGGGCAAGGATGACAAGAAGGAGTCAAAGACCGACAAGTCCGATACCAAGTCTGCTACCAAGGAGAAGTCGGCTGCTTCTCAAACCACGGCTGATGGACCTACGATTACCTGGGACCCTCCTGCTCCCAAGACCACGGTCCCTGATATCAACGCCGGTTCTCCCTCGCCCATGACTCCTGGTGTTGTTGTTCTGTCGTTGGTACTCGGCATCACATCTCTCGGAATGGCTCTGCTATGAGAGTACCTGCCATCCTCCTTAGAGATCATTGCACATTTCAGCTTCTGCAATGGTTCTTCTCGGCAAGCGTTTTTGGTTGAACGGGGTTTGTTCATTTTATTTCACATGATTGTGGCGCTATACGGAATATCAATGGCAACGGGGATTGACGATTTTTCTCTGGCCTGTAATTTGGTAGATGGACGCGTATGTTTGTGGCGCTCAGATAAGCCTCATTTGTTTCGAAGAAGAAAAAAAAAAAGATGGGAGATTGCGAAAGGAATGAAGAAGGTTATGGGAGAAAAAGTATCTGGATCGCACTTGGATCTGGAAGAGCATTGCATTGGAGTAATACTGTCGATATAAGTAATTGGGTCAAAGTAAAAAGAACAATTTCTGGACATTTTGATCTGCTGTCGCCGGAATGAAACCTCAGCTCCCCGTCCCTTATTCGTTTTAGAGCCAACCGTTCGTTAGCTGGGGCATGGTCTCAAAAGCCATGACCTATCTGCATAAACGTGATTGTAGGGCGAGCATATATATCCTCATAGGTTGAGAAATAAGCCACGAATATCTGTTCAATGTTAGGATTTACCGTATTCATTGATTTTAGGTATCATCGAGGGTCCTGGAGCCAGAGAATTGGCATCTCATAGTTCCCGATTCGAAGATACCGATGCTCCCTGGCCAATCACGGCATCTATAATCGACGTCATAACCCACCCTTTGTCCGCCCAATCACTTGACCCCTCCCCCTCATTCCTCTGAGTACAGCTCTCCAATCGCACGGTTCCAGCGCCTGTTGTACCTATGCTGTAGGGGGTTTTCAGCAGGTTCACGGCGCACCGTGCCTTAAGCTGTGCTAACTGGAGGTGGGAAGTCGCAATGCATGTCTTGCATTCATTCCTCCTGCCCAGCCCAACCAACAGAGCGAAGCTGAACTGGCGATAATACACTTTTTCCCACACTCAATTTCCCACGTCCTTTTCTCTTTCTTACAACAATCGCCGATATTCGAGCAGAATCAAGTCATCACCGGCGATAGTGTCACGCGATAGTCCTCAGCGTATTCTCCGCCTGACATCAACAGGCGCCCATCTTCCTGAGCCGCCGTTGACGGCGAAACCCTCGATACCTGACGTCGCCTCATATCATCGCATCTACGTCTACTTCTACGACCATCCCGACTCGAAGCTCTTGAGTAAAGACAATACCCTTTGCCTTTCAATCAGACATCCTCTCACTACCGAAACGATCTACCGTCATCATGGCGCAGACGCAGCCCCCGACCTTCATCAACCTCCCACCTCCCACCTCCAGACCAGAGACCCCCTCTGAGATGCCGTGTGTTCTTCCTTGCTCCTAACATTGCCTATCGTTTGATGCGATGTCTCTGCTTCCCTTAAAACTTGTTCGCTGACATCGTTGTCCGTCTCAGAGGCACTCCTACGAGCACCACTACCTCGCTTTCCGCCCTATCTACCACTGCGATCAAAGATGGTCATCGCGGCCACTTCCCACAGGGTCCTCTCAGTCGCGGACACCAACATAACCCTTCCACCCAAAGCCTCGAGGCTGAACGTGCCGACCGAATTTCCCGACTCGCTGGTCTCGAGCGAGTTTCAACCCTCCGGGCACCTCCTCAAGCGAACGCCCAAGGAGCATCATCTCCCTCGCCTCAGACCACGCCAACCTCTACAACTGGGTTTCCGCCCAACTACCCTGCTACACAGCACCTGACACCTGCATATTTCGATAGCAATGGCCAGCCTGTCGCCGTGACCAAGATGAGTACTGTCGGAACGGCCAGCGCAACTGAGAGCCATGTTGGCGATGGCGATGATACGCGCACAACTGCTGGCGAACACGATGAAGACATGTTTAGCACCGATACCAACTACCGTGAAGCCGAGTCAGTCGCAAGCATGGGTGGCTATCCCGACGCTATGGATGAGGACCTCGATGGTGCCAATGCTCGTTCTGTGGCTGGTTATGACGATCGCATGAGCGATGACGGCTCTGCCTCTCTCGTTGGGTTTGGTGAGGGTGCGGGCAGTACCGTATCTGGGCCCATTTATCATCGTCGAACGGCTCCCCAAGCTTGGGGTCTTGAAAGAACCAATTCGGGCCTGAGCGACGCCCGGCGGGAGCGTGACACTCATATGGGCGGTGACACGCCTGTGAGTGTGTCTGCCCTCCAGGAGCGCCGGGACGCTCGCATGATGGACGGTGTCGCGACTGATCCGAATCCAGGCCAAGCACCAGAGAACGACTCTTTTGTTGACACAACCTTCCGAGGCCCTGTCTCTGCGTCGCAACCTCAATCACAAACTGCTGCTGCTCAGGAGGCGGCAGAGCGTATTGTCCAGAGGTTGGACAGAGGTGAGACAAGGGCGCCTGCTTCGGGTCTTGTAGGACCTGGACGGGGTGACGAGCCTTTGGGCAAGTTCTACTTTGAAGGCGAGAAGCGTGATGATTAGAGAGGCTATTATATCAAAAGAGATATCCCAGCTGAGCCTTCATCTGCAAGGGTGGGGATGACTCCAGAGCTGGATTGAAGGACGCTGCCAGGCACGGCGAACTTGAGAGATATGGTCATATTTCTCATGCTGTGCTCGTCCTCAGAAGGAGTTTCTATGTTGTTTAGATTATATGCGTACGCATTGCTGTTCCGCCAGTTTATGTTTACATGTTGATATTTCGTTGGGGCCCCCATCTTGAGATGAGCTCAGGGCAGTTTGTAATAAAGGCCGTTTATGCTGTACAAACACGTCCTTTTCAGCCATTGACTTTAGTACCTGTGTACAGAGTATTTTGTTTCTTTTGCGAATATGTCACGATGCAATCGGGGTTTGATTGGACATTGAATGGTCTTCCAACGTTGCCGAGGTCAATTTAGATCCTGGCACGTTGCTTCATGTTATTGTGGTCAAAGCCAAAGCATGCTGTATTATCAGCATGCCCGTTGTACCTGGTCTCTAAATATGACGCCGCTATCTATTCGCCTCAAATTGTGTGACCATGCTCCGTGCACTTCATTTGGCAGATATCATGAAACTAAAATAGCGGGAAAGAATGGCGTCGGCCATGGCTTTCATCACTCTCTACCTCAAAACCATCGCTCGTTCTGTAAGTGCATCTGGCCAGAGATAAACGCCAGTCCCATCAAATAGGTGAACCTAGTCTTGGAGCGGGCTAATCGCAACGCTCCTCTCAGACAAATGCCATCCAAAGCGTTCAATGAAACAACCATGGGCCTACATGAAGGCACACTTGAGGGAAAAGGAAACCAAACTGTGAACGATACAGAACCCATGTGACTTCTTGCGTCGTAATGCCTCGGTGATGAATTGATAAGATGATGATCTAGGCTTGGGTGCTGAAACACCAGACCTCACCTTTTTCCAGCTCCCGTCTCAGATATATGCGCAAGCTGCCATTTCGGGCGCTAATGAATTCTCAGAGACCTCGGAGCTGCAGGAAGAAAAGCAACAACAATAACAGACTGGTATACTGTCATAAACTTGGCTCTGTAAACATTATATGCATAAATGAAAAGCTGTACCATGTGGTAACGATCTGGAGAACTCCAGTGTTGTGGTATATATGGTGACGCAAATTTGAATATGACGAATGATTATTCGCATGCTGTCGGATAAGTTCATGCGCAGGAGAAATCAAGACGCATTCGTCGAACAACGCCTTGCCAGTCCCATACAGACACCCAGTCACCCTGATCCATGCAAGCCCAAACCTTTTCTAGGAGTTCCATGACACGCTCGCAGTTCCGTAGGCCTGTATATCCGCGAACAGCTCTTACTGCAGTGCGTATGCGTTCCTGCTGGGCTGGCTCAAAGCAAGCAGTGCCAATAACTAGACAGGGGATAAGTAGCAGGGTCTGGGAGGGGTCAGAAGGCTTGAATGACTCCAAAATAGTGAGAGACTCTTCGACGGCGAGCGTGATTCGTCGGTCGTGATATGCTGGCCTTCTGGAAGGTGGGGGTGAAGATGCCCTCTCTTGGCATGTTGATGAGTCTTGTTCATGCATGGAATTTGTCCTCGAAGGGTTGCGAGATGTTGGACAGCTACTGGCCATGTGAACATCAGTAGCCCCAGTGGCACCGTTGCCCCTTGATACTGTGGCCATCATCGAAGCTCGTCTGGGTGGTGGTGGCGGAGGAGCAACAGTAGTTGAGGCCGAGATGGGCAAGGTGCTGAACGTCGAACGGCGCATCGAGGAGACTGAAGGTGGGTAGATCGTCCGGAAAAGATACACCCACATCATCTGCTTGTAGAGCAGTCCGACTCGGTCACGGCTGTCACCCCATGGCCAGTTTGGTGTCCACTCGCGAATGGCCGCGTCAATCTCAGCAGCCTGGTACAAGCTGGTGTAGTCCACCACTGGGTCAACACCAGCAGAAATGTTGGCTCGGATCGTGTTTCGAATAGTCGTGATCTGAGATAGATACTGGAAGAGGCCATCCCCAACACCTATCAAACGGGGAGGCTGTATCGGTGCTACAGGCTCCCAATCTTCAGACGACAGTCTGGCTGTCATATTCTCAGGGTGCCAGAATAAGTCATCGGCAAAGATGTGGTACTGGAAGAACTCGGTAATGAAAGTATATAAAGCAGGGTCCTCAGGGGGTGAGTGTTGAATCAGAGTCTGGTAAGCTTGAAGGTGCACACGATGTTCACCTCGAGGGTTTCCATCGGCTCTCGTCTGAAGAAGCAAGCAAAGCATTTGTCCATATCTTGCAGAGAGAATGGTCTTGTACTCGGGATCGTCTTTGTCCAATGGCCGTCCCATATCCTCGTACAGTCGCTTCATGGACTCGTCGTGGTGATAGTCGGCGCGTTGTTGCAACGCCTCCCGGTTGGACTGAGGATGGTCGGCCAATAACTTGGCACCATACGGTGTATCCCAGTCGATGTGCTTGCTGCTGACTGCCAGAATAGAGTGCATGAGGCCCTGGTGTTCATTGGCGAGGTGAAGGATGATGTCTTTGAAGGCATTTCTGGCCTCTCCTTCAACTGTTAAGACATTGCTCAGATGGGTAATATAATGTTTCCAAAAGACCTTATCCTCGACAGTCTCGACACCATGGAAGATTGGTTGCATAGTAATGATTGGAAGGGCCTCCTGGCGTAAACGTTCTGGTGCGATAATTAGAAGGATGTGTCGGTATTTCATCAAAGGAAACGTACCCTCTTCGGCCTTTTCTTTGCCGCTCTTCCATATCTGTTTTTCGTGGTAGCCCTCGCATACCACAGCGTTCTTCTCGCAATTCATGCCTAGAAACAAATGATTAGAATCTTGCATATCTCAGGTGAATGATTCGGGTCGTACATCGAGGTTTCTACTTTATATTAGCCTTCTGTCCACAGCTCAAGAACTACAAAGCACCAGACATGGCAGGGAGAATACTACTTGACATGATATTCCCCCTTGTTCTGTGACAGGTCTAACGCCTTCGTGAAATCACTTACCGCTTCATCACATTTCTTCTTGCGCTTTCGGCAGGTAATGCAACCAGTCTTTGATCGACCCTTGGTCACTTTACTTGCGCTCACTGCCGTGGTCAATGGGTGTTTCCTTGGTCTTCCTCGTGGTCGTTTCGGTTTCGGATCTATCTTGGCGGAGTCCATTGAGGCTGGCGCCAGGGGGGCGGCTTTAAGATCGTCCATGTTAAGATCATCTTCAACCGGCTCCAGCTTCGGAATGGTAAGAATATCGTCCGAGCCTTGCTCCCAATTATTGTCCATTTCAACATCGTCTCGGTCGACATAGTCCGTACTCCAAGAATCGGCGCAGGACGAGGAAGCTGAATGTACCATCGTCGGGGCAGAAGAATTGTCCAATCCTGCGCTCAACGGTGAAATCTGGCCGGGCTGTAGTTGATTTGCTGCTGCTGCTGAAGACATCCACAAAGAGTCCATTGGTAAAGGTGATGGTGGCATCATGTTGTTTCGGCCTTCGGAGGATATGCTATGGTTGTCGCACCAAGCCAGGTTTCGTTCAGACTGCGAAAATGCAAATGAACTTTCGATAGCCATCTAAGAGGATGAACATGCCCCGGACAAGAGTTGGGAGAAAGACGTTTTGTGCCGACTGTCCCAGAGCCGGCGGTAAAGACTTAGATAGACAACTAGGTAGCCCGATCAAATATGGTACGGTATGTATAGGCACAGCACAGTCTATGGAAGCTGGACGTGACGACTCAGCATGAAGCTGTGGAGACTAGAGGGTGGTGGCGGTGGACGTTAGACTGGACTAGCTATCGACGCCAACACACCAACGGTTGATCGAAGCTCCTTAGTCGCCCAGAACAGGCGACGGTTCGAAAATCGCAAGATGAAAGGGAGGGAAAGGTGAGGAGAATGGAGGGGCTACAGTATGTGGGTGGAGAGGTGTTATTTGGGAGTCAAGGTATGGAGGAGTTTTGAGATTCAGCACTGGAACCCTTCTGCAGTCTGTCGACTCCATCTCCCCACAGTTATCATAGCCTAGTAATGAGGTTGGCCTCATGGTCAAGGTGAGAGAGCCCACAGGGGCTTTGGTACACTTGGTACATAACCTTCAACACCCATGTGCCGTTCGGTCCCGCCAGGGATCCTTTCAGGCCGCTCGACGATGCCATCGATGGTCTCCTACAGACCCTGTCATGCCAGGGCCAGCTGCTGGGGGCTAGGTCGGCTAGTTCAGTAGCTTAGGACGACCATGATGAATGAGACGTGAAGGATACTCTAAGCCTTGGCGGATGTCTCCACCAAAGCCTTGATGGGGGACATGGACATGGCGTATTTAGATATCCACCCTCCATAGATTTAGCGTCTTCAGGGCCCTGCCAGAGATACTTCAGGGTACGCAAACCAGCCAAAGCAGCCCAGCCTAAGTGGGACATTTCCCGTCTGGACTGCTCAGGACTCAGGTTTGGTTAAGGTGGTGCATACAATGTCGTGCTATAAATGTTAGCAAATGTCTGGGATACGAGAGCAAGATCATGGCGAGGTAGAACGTGCCGTGCCTAGAATTACGGGGAAGGGCCTCGATGAAGCAGACATCTCGATCAGCTTGATATCTCTCCTCCATTTCAGAGGCCAATCAATGGTAACGAGTCGTGTCTATGCCCGTATTGTATGCGACAAGTGGAGTAACGTCTATGTATGGTTCGACAACGTTGATCTGTCTTTGAAAGTCACACGACAAAGTATCAACCAACTTTGGAGTAAAGAAAATCCAAGTCTGCAACGGGCGACGTTGCAACGCTGCTGTAGCATGATATCACTTCAAGTCCCCTGTGTTTGTAAATTCCCGTTAGGCGGTATTCGTTGCTAGTGTTTTTTCTCACTTTATCGCGCAACCAACCGATGCTGCTTTGCGTAATGATCATGGTAATGGTATAGTTCGCTTGAATCGCTCAGTCAGGCTGTGTTGACTGTTGAGGCCGCAATTGGGATTACAAGACTATTCGGCTGTGCACCATGATCGACTTTGGGCATCAAGTGAAGAAAATTCAGTCAGCGGGCAAGGTATTGTAGGATTCTCAACAAAGAGGTTGTGGTGACGGAAAATGCGAGTCGGTTGGATAAAGACAATGGTGTTGACAGCGGATGAATGGAATAGGAAAGGCGCTTCTGCACTATATCGGCATCTGTCTCAAATTTCATTCCTCAAAGAGGTCAGTCACGATGCAGATCAGCCTTTACTGCCCATCTGAGAAGGCACCTTCCTCCACGAAGGCCGATGACAGAAAGTGTACAATCTGATCGAGTAGGCCCGGCCTAGGCAGGTACGCTACTCCGTCCTTCCAGCCCAACTGACATCCCACTCCGAATGATTTTCCTTAGTATCCGTACCTTATCCTTTCAACTCACATTAAAAGCTTCTTCAACCAAAATCTGGACTTTTTATCAAATCCCCTATATTTTTGCTACACCAACCAGCATCATGCCTGTCTCTCTTTGATGGCTTTTCCAACAGAAAGCCTCATGTTGGCTGGAGAGATCTAGACCGTCAGCCCACTATGCGCTGCACCATCATTCTCCCTCCTGCAGAATATATGCAGAAACATCCATAGCGGCCACTTCTAACTCGTCCGTTTATCACTAGCATCAACTACTGCTGTCCTTTTCTGCCTGGCGGAGGCACTACTCTGAATGGTACGTCCGCACCTGATAAACCTCAATCACCCCTTTTCCATCAAGACCAAGCTGACTGACATGGTATTCCCATGTCGCTATTACCTTGTAACCTCTTCCATCTGCATCGCACTACTGCAATGTATTGCTAGCGCATATGTGCATTGCTTCTGGGGACTGGAAATCGACGGCCCAGGTCAGTCCACAACTGTTGGAGCTCTGAAGCTCTAGACAAGAGAAGTTGCGTTAATTGCTCGGCTGCTTCGAAAACTCGAAGCAGTTCATAGCCTCCCTGGACATGAGTTCACCAGTAGCCTCCCAGCCACGCGAAAACTCTAGTTTCAATATCAACTCAACCCTCTTCTTACTTCTTCACCAATTGACTCTCCAACATGGTACGTGCCCTGTAGCCGAACGGGTAGGGGTAAGACCAGCTCGCATCCTCCGCAGCCAACCGCCTCCTCACGGACCCTCAGGTGATCAAGGCATACTTTCTCTCTGAGACAATGCCTGTCTAGGTTGGTCGATCATTACGACTAAATTTGTCTGCCATTTCGACGAGTTGTCCTAACTCGGCCATCACGGATGGCCCACTCGTTGGTTGATCACGATACGTATTCAACTCTTCAAAGCGATTCAGAACCCTGGGCTCGAGAGACTCGAGGCTTTGACAACTTCGCTAAGATGCCGGCCCGCCGGTCTACCCCCACGTCAGCTCGCAAGATTTAACCCCGAATAGGACGCAGTTTCCATGATTATCGACTGCCAGGCGATGAGAGCCAGAAAATTTGAACTCTATTGGGGCCATCTACCACTCATAACACAATGTTCATTGTTTATGTTTGCTTTTTCTGCTCGCATTGCGGGGGACACAGCCAAGAGCGCGACCCTTGGTTCTTATGTTGACATGGAGCTCATGAACCTTGGCTCTCAAGCACATCCTCACCCAGTGTGTCCATACTGAACCTTAGAAGTGGTGTTGTGGTTAGATATTTTGGCTGTCGTTGCTTTACAGAAATGCAGCATCACAGGCTCTTTTTTACTATGCACAGCTATGTAGTCTTTGGCTACTGAAGTTGATTGCACACCCGAAGTATTACTTTGACAGAAGATTTTGGAATTGGTCTTTACCATTCGAAATCCGGAACCTCTCTCTTGCGAAACGCACATAAACTGGTCTGCTCTTTCTTTGAAGAGTATCTCAGATATGTGTAGTCAGCATCATTCGGATTCCCCAAAACAGTAACCCCTGGTCAGCTCGGGGGCATGCTCATCTACCATTTGGCAAGACTTGGAAGCCACAACGGTTTCATCGCTAATTTTAATCACTACGCGCAACATGTCTCAGCTAATTCCACCAAGCTGATACTATGTACTAACTATATAGGAGATGGCCAAGCATTACACATTGGTGGTCGCCCACGGTCTCCGCATCAATCAAGCTGATGCTCTCTTGAGATCACATACTGATGTTGGCAGTTAGCTGATAGAGAGCAATATCCAACGACCTTGAGGCCAAGGATGTCGTCGTCATTCCTCTTCAGGTTTAGCTGGTCTGGAGCTAAAAGCTCCCATGAAAGCCTTGAGTGGGTTGCTGACACACAGCGGTACTTCGAGGTACTTCAAGTTGTTTTATATCATAATAGATCAACCTCTCATTGGACGTGCAATTGAACTTCAAGAGGTCAACTCCAATTCAGCGTTCGGTGGCATCTATGAATAGTCTATCGCTTCAAACCGAGCATTCCGCTTCTCAGCTGCATCTCACACCGCCCCTGCTCCTGGTATGTGAACCAGTTGCCATTAAATATTGCCCGACAATTGAGTTCGACGGTGCGCCGGCCCACGCGCGGTCCGTTAATGGAGTCCCGTTTTTTCCCTAGGCTGAAGGTTGGGCAGATGAATGGAACCAACCATATCGGTAGGAGTCAGGAGAAACATGCGCATCTGGAAGATTAAAGACGTCATCGCCGACACCAGTTGTTGGTTCTAAAATAAGGGACTTATATTTGGCTCGTCACAATCGGCCAATGACTTCCTGACTTTACAGTTTGATGTGCTCTGTAAGCTAGTCACGGCGGATAGAACATCACTCTCAACGAAGAGTCCCTGGCATCTTTGCTGACGACTGCGACCAGGCCGGAAATGTTTTTTTTTTCCTCATGGAGAAGCATGAGCACCTGCAGCTTTGACATACATGAAGTTGTATCGTGTCTAGCTTAGTGTAGTCCAGGTACTGCTCGTACTACTGTACTGTCGTGCAGTATCTGCCCGACCTAGGCGAATCCATCGTGAGAGGACCCTGGCGATCCCACATTGACCACCTGAAATACCCAAACACCAGTGACTTTCAACCCTGTTGGGCTCACTAACAGACCACCACCTGAGCTGGACTGGGGGGGTTTTATTTCCAGGACCAAAGAGCTCAGCTCGCCAGCAAGCGCACGGGTCAAGTAGGCTAGAACATCTGGAGCTGGAGGCGGGTCTGCCTGAGCGCAAGATTATGCTCGTCCTCTAAATTACTCCACCAAAAGCGCAGCCATCATCAACTGACACATTTCGTTTGGCGCTTGAAGTCCACTGGACCGGACCAAGTGGCCTGTGCCATTTTGGCACGCTTTTTGTCACGGATTTAAGCCAACATGGAGACTGCCCTATGCTGTGCCCGTACGAATAGAATCCCCCTAGAAGGAGGTTCAGGTCACCTAGTCGTTAGCAGATCTCCCGTTATCGGGCCGGCACAGATCTTCACGAATCGAAGTCCAGATATGCGGTGAACTGGGCCATTACTCGACCGAACACAGGGTGTGAAGAATGTGGTTGTGGAAACCATGGAGCAACTCTGGGCATGGCTTCAGTGGGAGCTATGAACTCGGAGGGCCTCCGGTGCTGGCCATGTGAGGAAGATTCGACGATTCATGATACGATGGATAACAACCTTTGCCTGTTTCTCAGTCTTGGGTGTCACCGGTTGTTTCTTCAGGCAGGCATGGATGGTGTAAGCCAGCCAGCCAGCCTTCTGACTCAATCTGCATTTCAAGCAAGTGAAAACTGGGGTCAGGCTGAATACTCCAGCCCGACAGAAACGAACAAGGCCATACGTTGTTCGGGATTAACACAACAGACAAGATCAGGGCATGCACGGACTATGATTTTCAATGCGCCAACCACGGTTTGCATCCCTGAGCTGGGCTGGCTCGCGCTTGGTCTGATATTCGCAAAGCTTTGGTGTGGAGAGTCCATGATACTCCATGACTAGTATTCAGGAGGCGAGATCCTGGAATGTGTCTGCCTCATATTGGAAAGCACATGTCTAAGTCTGGCCGATCGTTGCGTTAGCGGACGTGGAGTCGTGGACGTGGACGGCGTTTCCTTTCGTCCAGCCCTACTGATTGCGACCGGAGCAAATAGTCCAATTCCATTAGAACCCGACAAAACTCTGATGTGTCAGGCGTTTAGACGTCTTCTCGAAGCGTGGCTTCAGAGACCGGCTCGATGCAGTTTAATTACACCACAGTACAGTACAGCTTCTACTGAATCAGGCTATTTGTTTCATCTACCATTCTTGGTCAAGTATGAGGGCTCTTTCCGGAGCATGCTGTCATTACCCCATGAGTCAAAAACGTTGACGATACGACATTGGCTATCCTAAAAGAAAGTCCAAGGGAGTGATCAAAAACGTGGTGCCTCGGGGGTTAGCCGAAAACCGAGACCTAGACCTTTGGACTGCGTAGATACGAGTGCATGCTGTCTTTCCTATACCAATACATGCAATACCCGTACCCCAGACTCACTCACGGACTGGGGGGTGACTGACTGTGGACTGTGGGTGAGGTGACGGGCGGATGCCAGTCAAGTGGGGGATCGTGGGGAGCGGTGTGTCGACCCTCTGCTCTGTGTGGATAGCCTCTAGTCTTCATCACAAGACGACACCATAATCAAGATGAGCAACGTGGACTGCAATGGGAAAATACCACCCTACCATCGGCAGCGTAGCGCTATCCCACTCAACTACATCATCGCAAAGATTTCTGGTCTGATTATTTACGTTTGATAATACAGATATTGGCCAAGATCGACTCCCTCACGATTCAATGGCTCTCATTCAGACATATCAAACACTTGGCATGCTTACTGTGCCTCCCGGAGTTCGGCTTCTTGACTCGCTCGGCACTTGGTCACCAGCACAATACAGCACAGCATATGCAATCTCGTGAATAACCAAAATTGTCGACCCAAGCCAATTGACTGGCTCAATCTCAAGTAGCATCTCAAGTTGACAGTTGCGGTCTGCAGGTGATTCGCTGCGTGCCAGTCGATTCGAGTCCCTGCTATCCGTACTATCGCGGACTATCGCGGTCTCGTGCGTCGTCACGGGACGATCATCAAGCTAACTATCAAGATTCGGTAACCCGTAGCCTGGATCAACAGACTGATTGGACATGCTCCAGAAGCCTCCCTTGCCATGTCTGTTATGCCGTGATGAAGCGAACGTCGTCCCCTGGTGTGGCTGCACAAGCGTGCGTGTCCTCAACTCTGCTTGTCCTTGCCTTTTCGATCCTGGGGGCTTAGAGGCTGTTGGTCAACATGGATGAGGCCTCTACTATGTACCTAGTTACCTTAGCGTGCGTTTATTATTCTGCAGCACCAAATGTGATTCATGCAGGGTACGACTCGAGAACTTTGATAATGCAGGAGAATAATGAAATACATACGCAGAAATGTGCTCATCAGCGTCGTGGCGATTCAAACTCATGATATCACAGACCCTCTATCTCGCAGCATTCTCTGCGGCAAAGCGAGTAACCCATCTGTCTCATGCATCTCGGCAAACCTTGACTACCTACACAAAAGTTCCCTTCTGAATGGTCCATTGCTACATCTGTCTGTCTCAAAGTCATAAAGTGTCTCATATTAAGGTTGGCTGGGAACAAGAGTCTAGAGTTGAAGCTATGGCGTTCACTGGGACGGTTGTTGATTCAAAGTACTAATAATATTACATAGGATACCTAATCTAATATCTCATTATTGGACAAGATCTATTGAAATCTAAGGTCTTTTAAGATTAGACTCAATAATGAGATTGTATCTAAACGTCAGCGAGAATTGGAACTGCCTCTTTTCCTGCCTTATCGGGGCTGGCTGGCGGGCTGGTAGAATAGGACCGAATCCTTCTATTTGGCAAATACAATGAGATCAGATGCTAGAGGCTATACTCTTGTCTTGTACCTTCAAGGGGCTTTGTGCAAGGCCCCGGGATCTTAACTACATACAAATCTAGTCGAATCAGTCATGCATCTTGACAGATACCTCCCCGTCTCAGCCATGGACCCAATATACATAATAGCAAACAGCGTAGATATGTAGGCATCGATGTGAGCCTCCAACATAGATTTGCCAATTCACTTGCATCTTGGAAAAGTTTCGGTTTCCCGCCCTTTACCCTGGGACTCATGGTCGGCCGCTGGTCGTCCAAAGCTCATTCGTCTTCCCTCCAAACGAAATGCAGACCTGAAGCTGCTTCCGCTGGCGGGCGTCATCGTTTTGTTTCTGCTTGGGGTCTGTGCCCCCTCACGCATTGCTTTACGTAGCTTACGTGTCTCTACTGTTAATCCCTGGGGTTTCTTGTCTCGATATGTAGCGGCTGGATTCACTTCAACCCTCGCGGTTGCCCGAGAAGGGGTTTGTGTCTGTCTGGGAGGTCGATCGAGTGCGAGGTTTAGCTGAGATTCAGAAGGAAGAGGTGGTACAGGCGGCCTAGGTGATGAGAATAGCGGTTCCGGGGCATCTTCGAGGAACTGCTTCCATTGTATGAGACTCTCTTTACTCGTTCTATTATCGGTAGCGACGTTGTTTTGAACTGCAGAGTCCCCATTAGCCGCACTTTCGAGGGAGTCCTTACGACTGGATCTCTTTGGCGATTGTCTGCTCTGAAACTCACGCTCGACCTTGTCTCGAAAGTACGCCGCTCGTTTCTCTTTCTCCCTTTTCCCTTCGCCATTACCCGAGACCCACGGCGACGCACAAGGTGGTTCGGGTTTGCAGTTAGCAAACGGGGACCATGCCAAGGTGGGCTCAGCCGGAGTTCGGGGAGTGGCTTGGGGATTGTAGTCCGAACGTATACGCTTGCGGAAGATACTGCTGATGCTGGAGGATGGTGTTCGTGGAACGGCAGTGGTTTGTGATGCGGTGGGTGATGGGGTTCTTGGATCAGGAACGTCTGCCTCACTTCCTGGAGGTATCAAGGACGAGGCTCGAGTTGAGTGATCGAGCTGCTGGTTCGATGAACGGTAGGTGCTGCTGGGAGTAAGTCTCGCTCGCGATGGCGGCTTCTGGGGCTTTTGAGGCTGCGAGAAGTCTCGCGTAGTGGCCGATGTTGAACGCTCAACATCTCCCTCATCCATGGTCGCACTTGGCTGAAACAAAGTCTTTGGCCAATCCGCCCCAGAAGAAGCCTCCCCATGGTTCTCAATTCGTCCATCGTTTCGCGACACGGTTCTAGACTTTCGGGGTGTAGCTGCGATAGCCCTCATCCATTCTTTTGGTGCAAAAGCGCGTTCATGCCGCCCAGAGTCCGGCAAATCAGGCAAGCGTCTTACTTTTGAGGTCTTCTCCGTTATGCTTTTACTCATTTGAATCCCATTAGACTCTTGAGGAGGGCATCTAAGACGTTCCTGAGTACTCTGGAGGTTGAGCATCATGCCAGACCTGGGGAATGTACCCCTGGAAATACTTTCCCTACGATGCTCCGGGGTAAAGCCTGATTGCGCCATGGCTTCCAGGTTGAAAGATGCTTTGTGTTCAAGCCTTTTCATAGACTGTGTTGGGGTAACAATTGTGGAAGCCGAACGTTGAAGGCCTCTTGGCGCAGGTGTTGCCTGCAGGAGGCCCTGCTCCTGGTGTCCTAGCCCACGAGGCGTACGATTTCCTTCTGTTGGAGTATCATCGTCATCTCCGAAGACTTCGGGATCGAAGGAGTCGTCTCGCTCAGTTGGGGCACTGATCCTAAGCATCTCAAGTGTGGTAGGCGGACCAGCATACCCCCTATCAAACAATCTTGGCCATCTACGATCAGATTCGTCAGTGTTAGCCCTATGTTTCCGTCGATTGATATGCAAGGGACTTGGCTGAAGTTCAGAGATAATTGATTCTGTGTCGGCCTCCCATAAGTCCGCAGAAAGCCCTTGGTGATACTTATCACTAGGACTTGGAATTAATCTTGCTTGTCGGGTATCTTCAAAAAGGAGTTTACCGCCAGAATCACCAACAACACGCTTTGTAAGTGTTCCTGGAGTCAATCGATGAGTTGGTTCAACTGCGATAGGGAAACGAGCTAGGGGACTGCGTGTGTCTGTTGTTGCCAGCGGCTGGGGAGTACAGCCAACAGTCTTGCCTCTAGGCCTTGGAGTGGCAAAATCAAAAACAGACATTTCCTCTTTGCATATACGGGATAACTGCCTCGAAAGCCTGAAGCTACCAGAGTCGTTGTGGATTTGTCTATCAGCTTGATCTGAGTCACCTATCAGATCCTTCTTCCTGACACTCTGACGAGAAGAGGGGGTGCCCGGGTCGGGCAAACTTGGTGTTTGTTGATTTTGAAACGTAACTGCATCATCGACGCATGTAAAGCGAGCCGCAGTCCCCGTGCCCTTTGTAGTCTCGTCTGAATCCTCGGTCGGATCATTGTCCTTAGAAGCTTCAAGTGATGTGATCGCGCTTGCTATCTCATCGTTCTCGTCGGGTTCATATTCGCTCATAGGCCGCCAATCTTCGACCTCTCCCCCGGCTAGTACTGGTTTCGTCAGTAGTTATTACAAATGATTTTGGGAAGAAAAGCAGATAACGTACCTCTACGTGGCACAACCATGTCTTTTTCTTCAGGATCAGCGCCTCCACGACCATCCCCGGCTTCTTTGTCCAACTCTGAGACCTTTTTGACCTGAGCATCGCTCATATTGAAACGCAAGGTATCCATGAATGTGGGTAGAAGAATCGGCTCGCCGCCTAAGTGAAGGGATAGACGCATGGGCCCATTGGCGTAAGTTTCTGGTCTTACAGTTGATACTGATTCCCCATCAGATTCAGCTGCATATCCATCTGCGGCTGCGCTTTCTACATTGACTCCAAAAGCCATGGGTTCCAAATCACGCCGGATTACTTTTGGTATTTGTGGTATTACCAGGAATTGCTTGTAGTAATTCGTCCAGAACCAATGTTTGTCAGGGGGTGGGAGTTCACATGGTCGATCCTCGTAGTCAGATAAGTACTTCTCCATCAGATACATTCGACAGTACTCCATAGGCGAAAGGCGTGGTTTCGTAAGTTGGCAACTCAGTCCAATACTTCTACCCCCTCTGTGGAAAGGCCGGAGGGTGCTTCCCCCCACAGCGATCTGTCTCTGGGGTGATTTGGGACTTTGTATTGGGCTCGAAGATGTATCACGGGCCTCATAGCTTTTGGCTTCAAAGCTCAAACTCCCCGGAAATGGGCCTATGATAGATATTGGCTCCGAGATGTTTGCTTTGAGCGACGGCCAGCGCTTTCTATCACTTGACTTGCGTGTAGTGGAAGTGCCCACGTGCTGGTCCAGTGCCTGGAACGGCACACCACTTTGGTCTGTCCTTTCGGATCTATCAGACTGATAGCGCATTCTCTTTTTTATCTTGTCCAAAACGCTGGGTGTGAGATGTGCTTTAAGTCTCTCAGGAATATGTGGTAAGGGGGGCACAGGTGGCATGTCATTACCCTCATCATCGCTGTCGGGATCGTACTAAAAATCTCGACTGTCAATTTCTCGAGGTAAGATAAGACCCAAAGCTGCTTGTTCGACTGGCGACATGTCGAGCTTTCGGGTGAATGGGTGCTGAAAGAACTCTGTTTTGGAGAGACTATCAGGATAGGACAGGACGGGTGGTGCGCTGAGATCTTGAGAAAAAAGAGCGCCGTCTGTTTTAGCTGGACTCATTTCTCTTCCAGGCATTCCCTTTAGTAGAGGATGTGAAGTCGATAGAACCCATGGGCTTAAGGGTGTCGTTGGCGCAGAGTCCTGGTTGTCGTTTGGAGTCGCAGTTGTGAAAATAGCGCTCGCGCCCTGGGTTGCATTTGCTGAAAAACCAGAGCTTCGTGAAGTGTCTGTATCAAACAACGTGGACGAGGTTGGAGATGCGACATGATACGATCCGATGCTGAATGATTTTCGTTCAAGATCGTTCATGATCGCCAAGCACACACCCTCCAGCTTCTTGAACTCTTCACAGTATCTCACCATAGCATCTCTGGCTTGCGGATACCCGGGGACCTCGCACCAGCTAGACAGCTTCATTTTAACGATTTCTTGCAGCTGAGGGGAGAAAGGGCTCTCGGACATCAGGTGCTCAAAGACAGAAAACCGAACACTGTCTCGAAGACTTGGTGAGTGTGGAGTTGGGTCGACATCATCTTCGTCTTCGAGAAACACATCCGAAGGCACAAGAGCATTGAGTATTCCCATAATTTGAGGGATCTCCTTCCTGCACTCGGAATCTCTCGTCAATTCTTTGATAAGGATCTGGGGGGTAGTCAGTTCACCAAGGCGCATTCGGGGAGCAGTATGTGTCTTACACAGGCCCTGAAACCGGCGTGTAGAAGCCGAAAATTTGCGGTAGAAGTCCTATCAAGCTCTTGGAGCATTTGTAGTTGACTTTCTGTCGGTAAGATGGTCTCCATGGCAGCATGGGTAGCTTCAAGGAGGCGAAGGCGACGAATTTCGATGGCATCGAGGTAGCCAAGGCCATCCATGGCGCGTTCAAAGTCAATACCTCCATCCTTGGGCTTCCGAAAGATATTTGAAGCTATGTACTTGGAATTCTTGCGACTATTCGCGTCATAGTCGACTCCTCTTGCTGCACGGATGGCTGGCCAGGTTGTTTGAAGGGAGGCTTGAATGGTTTGGTCGTTATCGAATGCCAAAAGCCTCGTTTGCATCAGCTGCGCAAAGCCACACTGTCGAGAGTTAAGATCATCTGATTCATCGTTGACCAATTGTTTAAGGGCTTCATAGCCTGTCCCTAACCACCAGGTTTCGAGTTCAGCAGCATGGGGTGGCATCGCTTCGTGATATTCTGCCGAAATATGTTGCTCAGAGTGCGGAGGAGAAAGCTTATACAGCGCGATCGCACATGATGCATCAGTCAGAGACGAAGAGGATTAAAACAGTGGAAGGAATAGATCTGTGAATGAAGAAGGTATTTCGAGAGTGAAAGGCTGCCAAATATTGATCTTGGCAGTGAATAAAGGTGGAAAGGGCGTGAAAGGAAAATTCTGCAGGCAGCGACTGATCCACTGTAGCCGTGGTATTGAGGCTGGCTGTTGAAAGAGCCGTTTGCGCGAGATGCGTCTTGTTGTTTCTACATTTGTTCATGATGAATGTGGCCAGAATCGTTTGTGGTCGCGTCACTGTTCACACCTTCCTTCCATGAGTTGGACCAGCTGTTTGAAAGCATTGTAGACTAATCACGTGGCCTCATAGTACATTTGACTGCCATTAATTGATAGCGATTCGAATCGTTGAGGATATTCGTTACTGACGGGAAGCTGAAGTTGTCGATACTGCCGTTACCCCGTATCTCATGAGGTCATTTCAGAGTGGGAAAGATCCATTCGGTGACATGCATCTCAAACCCCCTGTCCTGCTGAGTCTCAACTCAATTGACGAGGCCTCCTGCATTCCCCGCTAAAATTACAGTGGTTTTTGCACTAGCGCAAGGAATAGCGGGCACCGTCAGTGGAATTGCAGGGGGAGCTTCTGCAGCTGTCGCCGAGGATCTGGTCAAGTCTCTGCCAAGGCCAATGGCAGCCAGTTTCAGGGCAGCTAACTGTCACTGGTGGCCCCGAATCTGTTCTGACGCAGCACAACCAGGAACCTGAGCTAACTTTGTTTTTTGAACCTTGACCAAGCTTGAATTGGACTGTTCCTTTCGTGCCACGAAGCCACTGGTCGTCCTACTCCCTTCTTTTTCTTCTCTCCTTTGTTCTACTGGCGTTGGTGTAACTCTTGATAGCCTCAACCGGCACGTCAATTGACTCGTGGAACTGCTTTCGTCTTTCTCTATTGCACTGCAAATCATTAATTATGATTTTGAGGCATTCAGGGCGCCTGGTGCGTCGCCTCAACCAACCTGTCAGCTCCTTGAACTTGGCACGACCAGTTGGACCGCAGATTCGGTATCTGGGGCCGAGATGCACAAATAGCAATGTTGTCAGCAAGCTTCGATTCTCATCTCAAGCTCGCAAAAGAAAAGGTATTGATTGATATTTAATTCTTGTCTTTTGTCACACGATCCCGTCAAGAGGCGACTCTTCACAGCAAAACTTGGGTAACCCAGAGGTTCCGGCATTTGCATTTCTGTTTCCAGAAACGGCACTTTCAGTCAGCATCTTATCAAGACTTGGCTTTGAGCAACAGTCCCAACTATTTCTGATCTGCAAGTGGGGATCAGGCTGAAGAGCGGGAATCGCTGCATATCAAATTAATATGTTGCTGGAAGCCCAGAAATCGAAATGAAATCGAACTATTGCTAACTTTTTAAAGCGGAAGAAGCACCTGAGTATAATGCAGAGGCAGAGGCAGAGACTCAGAAAGGCCCCAAGTCCTCCTCCTCAGAGCCTTCACTTCTAGGCAAGATGGGAGAGGCCGCGGCCACGACCTTTGCGTCCATAGTGGTGTTGGGTCTGGGCTTTGCTGCTGCGGGCTATATTTATCACAAGTTTTACAAGATGCTCGTCCTCCAAAAGATGAACCATGCTTTTGAGCCAGGGGATCCGGTCCTGGATTTGGCTGCAATTGGTAAAGATGTTCCTCATCAACCAGGTGGTTCTGGCGAACATTGGATATACCGCCCGGAGCAGCAGCGTGTTGATGACATTGTCATGGGGCGCGTTGTCGGGCACTATTACCTTTTGATCGGTGATAAGGGGTCTGGTAAGAGCAGCATGCTTATTGATGCTATGCGAAAGAATGAGGGTGATGGTGTTGCCATGTTCGAAGCGCACGCAGACCTGGAGATCTTCCGTATTCGTCTTGGCAAGGCCCTCGATTATGAGTTTCACGAGGATTACATCGGAGGGTACTTCAGTGAGAGGGGTCCCCGCGAAACCACAGCTCTTCTGGACATTGAACGTGCTCTCAACAAATTGGAGAAAGTGGCCATGCAGAAGCGAAGAGAAAGGGGCAAGCCTTTAGTGGTGATTGTCAACCAGATGCACCTCCTTCGCCATGATGATGATGGTCGAGATGTCATTGAACTACTACAGCAACGGGCTGAACAGTGGGCTGCTGCCAACATTGTCACTATGGTTTTCAACTCAGATGACTACTGGGTGTATGAGCGCCTCAAACAGCTTGCTACCAGAATGGAGGTTCTCCCTGTCACTGATCTACCTAAACAACAAGCTATTTCGGCTCTCCAGCGATATCGTCAGAAGTACTGGAAGGAAAGCATTGACGCCGCAGTTCTCGAAGAAGTCTATGAAAGGGTCGGAGGGCGGCTGAGCTTTCTCAACCGAGTAGCAAAGAGCAGGGATATGATGGGAACTTGCGAAAGGATCAAGGAAATTGAAAAGAAGTGGTTCCTCAACCAGTGTTGGATTCTCGGTCCAGAGATGGATGACGATGTCATGGATCAACAGAAGTGGGCTGTAAGTTTGAAGAAATACTACGTTGCATTTATAGAGACAAGTTACTGACCGAATCATAGGCTGCCGCTATGTGTTTGGCCAAGGCATTGGTCGACAAGGAAAAGGATATGGAAGAACATGAGACCTACGACCCTATTGTTGGACATGTGCTTCCGACCTACCCTTTCCACATCGCTCAGCAAATCATGACCCGCTGTGACTTTATCCGAGATCTCGATCGATTGAACCTCTTCAGCATCACCAGTGAGGCAGATGTTCGAGCGAGCAGCGTTCCGATGCATCGGGCTTTCAGAGAAATTTGTGCTGAGCCTAACTTTGAAAAGCACCTGGAGGGCACGATACAAAGAATTGCTGATATCGAAAGTTTGGGCCGCACTCGCGAGCTTGTTGCCAAAGACTTGGTTCTTGGTGGACAGTATGAGATCGAGCATAACCGCAAGGGTATCACAGTGAAGCTGAAGGAGGCTGAGAAGGAAGATGACTGAGGCAATTGCGTGCGCTTTTGGATTTGCTTCCATGGAAGTAAATGGGAATGATGACACCCTATTAGTGTTTTTGGATTTCTCTGGTCATATACGCCTGAATGAGGTATGACCGGAATAATGTTGAAGGACAGGCGCAGGTGATGGATGTTTTTGGGTCTGATGAAGTGACCTGTACAATAACTGACTGACTTACATAGATTTTCTTGGCACGTGTCGAAATAACTCTGTACAAACCTGTACTATTTCTTTAGATTAGTGTAATAAACAACAACTGTATATATTTGACTCTCAATGCTTCGAGATTAGCCTCGGGGAGCAAGAAAACTTAAGGCTTTGGAAGAGGATGTTGAAATAAACTCAGTAAAGAGTCCCCTAAGCTTAGATTATATTACCTAAATATTTTATTGCTTAGGGTCAAGGTCTTGAGTTTTCTTGCCTCCCCTAGCTGACCTCTTGACCTGAGCTATGGGCAGAGATCAGAGAACAGATGAAAGGGGTACGAGTGTGGGGTTCACGTGATCAATGTCACGACAACGCGAAGGAGCAACCATCTCTAGGTTAACCACGCCGTCAGTTTTTTTCGTGACGCCCCACACCTTCTTCCAATTTCCCCTTACCCTACATCCTCAACTCGCGTTCTGTCGACGAGAAAGAAGCTATCGTCGCGAAGCAGTTCACCGATGTCAGGCAACGGCAACGGCAGTAGCAAGTGGCCTGACTTCCGCCTCGCGTCGACCCTATGGTCTCTTATGCCCGGCTCCCAGTCCAACAGGCCAGATAAGCAAAACGACGAAGACCGCGACGGCAACGAAGGCCACAAGAACGAGCAGCAGCTCAAGAACGAACCCCAAGAAGAGCTTCCAGAAGAGCTAATGCAGTCACTCGAGTTGACCCAAGACGAAGTCGGCACCGAAAACCGGCCAATTGACGAGATGAGCGGTTTCGATAACTACGATGGCGATGCTCAGGCTGGCCCAGAAGACGACGTTCAGGACCAAGACTTTGGCACGCTCGAAATGTTCGACAGCAACGCAACACAAGCCCCCTACACGTCGCAACTCGACAACGCGTCCCAGGAAGACCAGGCACCTGAGGCGCCCATGTTGGAAGACATACCGTCCTCTCAATCCCGAAAGCACAAGCGCGACAAGAAGGGGCGCAAACAGAAGGGCATAAATGAAAGTGAATCTCCACAACTGCCAGCTGCCGAAGGATCCTCGCGCAAGTCCAAAAAGTCCAAGAAAAAGTCAATGGTACCGGTCGAAATTCCCGATAGCCTGGTCGAAAACACATCAACCATATTCCCATCTCAACCTCTGGAGAACTTGGCTGCTGACTTTGATGATGAGGCTGCTGCTCCTGCTACTCAAACGAAGCGCAAGCGCAACCCCTCGGATTCTACTGACGGCAAGCAACGCAAGAAGCGGAGATCCCGTGACGAGGCAGCCGTCATCGAATCACAGTTGGTGGAACCAGGAACACAGGATGGCCAAATTGAGGAAGCCGACACTAAAGAATCTCAAGCTGCCTCTTTCCTTCGCACTAGGGACGCAGCTCGCCCAGCTGCCATTTACGATGACGTCGCAGAGGATGCACCCCAGTCTCCCAGTGCTGCACGCCTCGAGGTGCGTGATGCTCGATCAAGAGAAGGTAGTGCCGCTCATGACGAGATGGACATTGATGCATCAGTGAAGCAGAACCAGGATCAGGAGAATGAATTGTCTAGCTTTTCTGCAATCAATGGGCAAGAGAACACAGAACAACAGGAGCTTGAACAAGTGGCCAGGGACGTGTGGAATGCGCACATCAACGGCCAAAACCAACCCAACACACAAGACTCATCTGTGCACACTGAGGAGATGGAAATTCCAACATCTGCACAGCGTCCTCATACAAGCAATGATGTGTACGATGTTCCTGGAAGCCCAGTTCAGGCCTCAAACCCCCCAAGTGCCAGCGCCAAGCGAACACGATCGGGCAAGGCTAAGAAGGCCAAGCCTACTTTCTTTGAGAAATCGCCTTCCCCCGAGGTTCCTGAGGGTGACCTCCCATCACCTTCTGCCATGACACCGATGCCACGAAAGCGTACCAAGAAGGCTTCAAATCGTAGAAAGTCTGAAGCCAACCGTGCACTCTCGTCTCAAGACATGGAGGTCAGAGATGACGACGACTTATATGGCAATCCAGCAACCGGACGACGCAACCGAATGGCTGGCTTCACCCAGGGACGATTCAGCGATGAGGAACTTGGTCGTATCGCACAAGCAGTTGAGAGTTACCGTGTCGAGCGCAACATGGTGCAGCATGAACTGAATGCTATGATCCATGCTCCTGGAGGTACAACCGCTGGTGATGAGCATGCCGCCCTTTGGGCACGCATCTTTGCAACATGCCCGGACCGACACAGACAGAAAATCATCAATATCACCCGAAAGAAGTTCCACAACTTCGTTGCTCGTGGTACTTGGACCAGCGAGCAAGATGCCGAGCTCCGTGACCTTATTGAGGCCAACGGAACAAAGTGGTCCAAAATTGCGGGTATCATCAACCGTCACCCAGAAGATCTTCGGGATCGTTATCGAAATTACATCATCTGCGGAGACTCCCAGCGGAAAGATACCTGGGACGAGGATGAAGAGGGTAACCTGACACAGTATGTAATGGAAGCTATGGCCGCCATTGACGAGTTGCGAATCATCCAACCTACCCGCGAACTGCTCAAGAAGCCATATGAGGAACTTATCGATTGGCAAAATATCAGTGAGCGTATGGGGAGAACTCGCAGTCGACTTCAGTGTATCACCAAATGGAGGGCAATGAACATCAAGACGCATGGCAAGGATAAGTTGGTGTCACATGCGCCCGATGCATCTATTTCTTTCCGTCTCGAGAAGGCCCGTCGTCAAATTGCCGCGATGCCTGAGGAAGAACGTTATCGCATGATCATGGCTATCTCAGGCTCATCCGCATCAGTTGAATCCAAGATTCCATGGCAAAGACTGGTTGACAAACAGTTCCGTAACAGCTGGCATCGACCAACGCAGATGCTTCTTTGGCGACGCCTGAAGCAAAGTGTGCCCGAGTCAGAACAGAAGACTGTACGAGACTCTGCACAATACCTTCTTAATTTGTACGCCCAGACTGGCGAACTTCCTAATGTTGAGGATGCTCTTTTCGACGATGCGGAGGAAATGGAGTTCTTGAATAGTATCCCAACCACCCACGCTTCTCACAACAACGCTTCTGCCAATGGTCAGAACCACATGAGTGCCGAATTTGTTAACGAGGCCGATGAGGAGGAATCCGAACAACCGCAGGGTGAATACGGCGTTCCTGATGAGAACATCAATCCTGATTTACCTATCGCACCAATGGAGGACTTCAACCCAGCCCCAATGGCATCAATGGATCCCGTTGCTGCGGTTGCAGACCTGGCTCCCATGGAGGATACTGAAATGGTTGACCCAGCTCTTTCTGCAGAGCATGCAGAGCCTACAGAGCCCGAAGAGCCCGTTGATGCACCAATGAAAGAAGAGCCTGCGCCTGTCGCCAAGCCCGCCAACACACCTGTGTTTGATGAGCCAGCTCCCCCTAAGGCAACCCGCGTTGCAAAGAGAACAGGTATGGGCAAGGCGAAGGCACCTAAGCCCCCTCGCAAGTCAGCTGCTAGATCTACTCCGGCCAGAGCCACACCTAGCCGTCGATCTGCTAGACGTGCAGCCCCTTCTCAGGACCCAATTGAGGATGATGGGGAGGTTCAGGCCCGGGCTCCCGCAGAGGACAACTCTGAGGTTGACGAGGCTCAGACGCGCAAGCGAAAGACGCCTAGCAGGTTCCGATCCGCTGGCGTCCCTGAGGTATCTGCTGCCGCCGACGATTCAGACAGCGTTATGGACGATATGGAAGATTTGCCTGCCCGCGTTATGTAAGAGAGAAAAGGAACATGAGGGCCACGACGTGGCAGATGAGTGATAGAGATTTGGGAGGGGGCCGGCGTATTTGTACAAGTTACCACCAAGATGGCCTCGACACTAGAAACAGCGGGTGTTGCAGTAATACTTCAGTGGCTAATGGAGGATGTGAAGGGGAGAAACATGGACGATATCGTGGATAACATGAATTATAAAGGAGGGACTACTAGTCGCAATTTATCATCATTATCTTAATATTACAGTTCACTGTGCAAAAAAAAAACAAAGTTTTAAAGAATCGGAATCAATGCAAATCCTGGTATCTATCATCTCTCATCCGTCTACTTTAGCCATTTGCTCAGGCGCAATTCATAATGCAAGCAAATCCATCGTACCAGTGCCGCCATCGTTGGGCGCAGATCGTGATAACAAACAAGTGTCTTTTACTCCAAACTCCACCGAAATGTTTTTTCTTGTGCAAGTGACCCGAGCACTCCGAGCCCGTCATGAATACCGAGTCCCAAAAAAGAAAAAAGAAAAAAAAAAATACCCGCCGTGTAGTTACCGAGTTCATAACATGACAGATCGCAAGTATAGTACCGTTCGTGGTGGTTACGATAGATTCTTTAGCGGATCTCAGGCTCCCGCATGAATTCAGGGATGGCGAGACCTCCCTCACCAGACTCAAAGTTGGGAGCTCCAAAGTTGCTGGGGCGCGAAAGAGTAGAAGTGGTGTTGATGTGGCTAGTGGCCGTGTCCATGAGGTCGAGGACATCTTCGACAGGGTTACCATCGCGACCGGGGCCAAGGGCGGAGTCGTTGTCGAAAGAATAGATCTTGATACCGCGAAGGTGGGTATCCTTGCCGTTCTGGTGGTTCTCGAGGATCTGCATCTGAACGACCCAAGCGACGAGGGTGTTGCCGTCAGGACCACCGCCAGCGCCGGCAATGGGAACCTGCTGCCAGCCGGAGGGGTTCTCAAGAGCCATGGTAGCGAACTCGATAAGGTTGTTCTCGCTGGTACCGGCCTTGAAGACGACCTTGGTAGGGGTGTAGGACTCATCCTCGTTGTAGTCAACGTAGAAGCGAATGTCGCGAATACCAACACGCTTGGTGAAATACATGGTGAGCTTGTGGGGCTGAGGGCCATCGGATCTGAGAAGTGTAAGTCGGGCGAAAAGTGCTTGGGAGTTAGCGGATGGACTCACTGCCAGAAGAGCTTGAGGTCATCGCTCTTGAGCTCCTCAACACCATTGCCAGGCTTGTGGCTGCTGACAGTGAAACGGGCAAGGTTGGAAATCTCCTTTAGGCCAGCAGTAGCTGGGTCAAAAAGGGTAGCAGCTTCATGAGCCTGGTCGTGTTCAGCGGCTTCTTCGTCATCCTCGTCTTCGTCGGCATCATCTTCTTCTTCTTCGCCGATTGAGTTCTCATCCTCATACTCTTCAGGGGAGTGAGAAAGAGTGCGCTGATCAGCATCGTCCTCAGCAGCTTGGTCGTCGTTGTAAGCCATTGTGGCATCAGAAGAAGGGCCAGCGGGAGCAGCCATTGGGCGAGCGCGGTTGAAGAGAATACTCTCATCAGGCTCAGCATCGGAGCTGGAGGCGTCGGAATCGCGGGGAGGCATGCTGAGACGAGATCGATCTGTAGGCTGCTGGGCAGCTAGGAGAATGTTGTTAATATTTGTTCGCAATTCTCGTGATTCGCGAAGAAGTTGCATGCGCTCTTGATACCACTCCTCAAAGGTGACGCTGAGATGATCAATGGCTCGGTAGCAGGCTTCCACGTTCTCCTTGTCTGGAGAAGGAACGGCTCGGAAGACTCGCTTGCGCTGCTGGAGAATAGCGCCACTAGACTTCTTGAAGGCAAGTTCTTGGAGTGGAACTCGCTTGATGCGATGATCACGGTTGATTTGATGAGTTGAGGCTGGAGGAGGAGGGATGTAGATTTCGCGACGGGAAGGCATGTTCAGGGATGAGATGGTTTGTTCGGATAAAGGGTGAACAAGCTCAGTGACAAAGGAAGGATCAAGTTGAGAACAGCAGATGAAGGTATCAAAGGAAAGGAAAGATGATGAAAGAAAAAGAAGGCTGACAAGATAGTTGTTAGAAGAAAGTGCAATTGGGATAATGGGAAAGATAAGGTAGTGATGTGTTGCAGGAGTATGACGTGTAGAGTTGATGAAGAAGAAGAGAAGGTACAAGAGCAGAAGCGAGATAGTGGCATCAGTCTAGTTCCTATCGAGGCATCTAACAACAGAAAAAGAGGCCCATCGAGCAAGTATGAGGGCAATGAATCACTAGTGGCAGCCAACTAGAGCTGCAAACACTTTAAAATCGCAACCGATATGAGATCATGGCACTGCCAGAAAGAGACGCTAAATATGCACGTTTAATTGAAAAGATTTAACTTACTTCTATACAGACGAAACGGATTAGGAGGAGGCGCTCGACGTCGTCTTTGGTCAGGAGGTTGATCTGGTGTTCGATGAATTGGAGGACCGTCGGGCGTTACCATTGGACCAGCAGCAAGAGGAGAAGCGCCTTGACTTGGATGCAATCTAGTAGAAGGTCCGCTGGGAGTAGCAGCTGGAACTTGAGGCACTGGAGATGAGGTTGTATCGGATGGTACAGGTCTCGGGCTCGAGGCCATGTTTGCCTGTGCCCTGGCGTTTGTGTTTGAGTTTGGGTTTGCATGAGTGGCAGCTACATGCCTTGCTCTTCTTGAACCACGAGTGATGTCCATCTTGATCGGCAGTGATCACTTAGTATCTGGCCAACACTGCCAACGCTCACTGATATCCGAGCTCCTCTAAAGTCAATTATTAGGCGCGGTCGCGGTTGTAGCTGTCGTTGGAAAATATGATGTGAGTGGACAATTGGACGCGCTATCACGTGTCCTCTATCGAATCTATTTTAGGTGTCTGGCCTCTAGCTCAACTGAAGTTGACCCCTGTCCATCTTGCCTTGGCCTTGATTGTTTCAAACATCATCACCTCCAATCTCTTCAGTTCAGCCATAAGCAGAATCAATGCTGCAAGTCAATGCAATGCAATAACTTTGCAGACCCGATACACTCTGGATACATTTCATCAGTTGTTCAATTGAGCTATTTTCACACTCCAAAGTCTAATCATAACCGAAGTCGCCTCTTACCGACTGAACTTCCTGGTTGCGACTTACAGGGTCCTCCTCCTCTACCCCGCCAAAACTACTGCAACCCAACCAGCCTCTCCCACTGTAACCCCGGCCTCATGCTCAAAAAAGCTTCCAGAAAATCTTGGTCCGAGATCTGACGCATGTCACGTCAAGTCAAGTCACAAGCCACCAACAGAATGCCCCTGACACTGACAGTTCTTGACTCAACTACAAGGAACCTTTGGCCTTAAACCTTGTGGGCCTACGAATATGGTACCCTCCATCTTCTTCGGTCTTCGGAGTCGTATTGCTGAAAACTATGCTACGCCGCTGACTTGCATCAAGCAGGGAGGTTAATCCTGATGACGAATGCGCAACACCATATGCCCTTCCCTATGATCTTCGATCTTGTTACATTGAGACAATACGACAATTCCTTAATCAATTGAATCTCACGGGTTGCCCGTCCAGTCTCTCCACTACAGCGCCTTGACCATGCCCGTTATAACCGTTCAACGGCCAGTGTCGTACCTGAAGCTAAGCCAAGGCCCCTGGCCCGTCCTCATATTCAGAATCTGAGGTTGTACGGGGATACCGATATCGCTTCGAGTCTCACCGTGCCAACTAAGAGTGAGGCATGCAGGACATCGTCTGGTTTAGCTCGTTAGCGCACCCTTTCAACATGAAACATAAGCTCATGGCTCTACGTGGAGTTAAAAATTCTTCTCGTCGTTAGCTAGAAACGCCTTCAGCATGCACGGTCTACGTGTATCCTTCAACTTGAGTCGAGTGGGCCCGCATCGCCAGCCTCATCTACAGCCATCATCCTGGTTCATCGCCCAATGTAACGCCTCATCTCTCCCGTCTCATTGGCAACGATCCAGATTAACGGTCCAAGCTGTCACCATCGCTGAGATCTTCAGCCGTTCGCGCTACGTCATTATCGTTTTCACTTAACTACCGGCCTCCCTCGCGCCACGTCGGCTCGCTCCTCTTCAGGGTCCTCCCATGAAACTGGTCCCTTCACTGACTCTCACAAGATCCAAGCTTTTGGGTCTTCCTCTTTGCTTCTTCTCGTGTAACTCAGGGCTTCCATGTTGCCCATCTCAACTTGCGCAGCTTCTATTCGTTCTGATGCACGCTGACGCCTCGGCTTTCTTTAGAGCTCAACTTACATACCCACCATCAAAGCCTTCCTCAAGATGTCATTTGCAAGGATAGTCTCAAGAATCAGGGCCGAGTCGGGGTGACGGGTCGCTTGGTGAACCCTTGAGGACCCTGACTTCAGCCTCACGAGATGATCCTTTTCTTAGCATAAATATCGACTCTTGTCAACTGTTTCTGTCAGCTATCAATCTACAATAATCTCAATCATCTTAACTACTTATCTCTCAACTGCTTATCTATCGAAGTGAAAGACAAGAGCTCATCCTGGGTTTTCAACTGATTCCGTTCGATGTCTCTTGATCCTTTGCCTACTATTGAAACGACCCTCACTTCTTCTTCTCCATCCGACATGTCCTCTTCCATACAAAGCCGATCTGCTCGCAGCACACCTGCTATCAACGCATCCGCCTTTAATCCTCCTGAAGCCAATGGCTCCTCTAATGAAAGAGTTCCTTTCATGCGAGACAACTCTCCCGAAGCCGATAGCCTACCGTCCAACCCAGCTCTTACTCCAGTCATCACCCATGGAGACAACCCTTCAGCCAGCAACAGAAACTCCGAGGCCGATACAGTAGTCCCCCTCCAACCTGTTATCAGTCAAGATCCCAGTCGAGTCCGCCCTGGCTCTCGCACCGGTAACTTTGTCACTCCCAAGACGGCTCGCTTCTCTCAGGATGGCGGAGAGCCTCTTCAGTACTCTGGAGGTTCCATGAAATCGTCTCGACGACGCTATCGTGGTGAAGACTACGACTTTGACCAGGCTGCCGACTATCCCACAGTGAGTGACTATGAGCGATACTGGCGCAATGAAGGTCGCAATGATCGCTACACTGCTCGAAGAGGCCCTTACCCACCTCCCACATTCATGAACCGCCGTCGAGCACACCCTCATGATTCAGACGAAGAGTTCTATAGCAGTGACGACCCTCGCATGCCTCCCACTGGCGGACGCAGAATGATGGATGAGGAAATGGGATACCCCCATCGACCTTTCCATCACCGACGTGCTTCTACCCTCAACGGCTTCAATATCTCTACAGGCAAGCTTGAGTGGAGTAACCTCAGTCCTAAGGAGAAATCAGAGATCATGCGTCTTCCTTTGACTCAATGGATGAACTCAAATTTCAAGAACCACTTTGTCGCCAGTCTTGGTGAGCTTATCGGCACTACCATGTTCCTCTTCTTCGCCTTTGCCGGCACAGAAGTTGCCAACATTCAAGCACAAACCGACAGCAAGACTACCACAGGAGAGTCTACTGGTAGTCTCAACGTTTCCAAGCTCCTCTACATCTCCATCATCTTCGGTTTCTCGCTCATGGTAAATGTCTGGGTCTTCTTCCGTATCAGCGGCGGTCTCTTTAACCCTGCCGTCACTATCGCCATGTTGATGGTCAAGGCTATTAGCATGACAAGAGCTATCTGCCTGTTCCTCTCTCAGATTCTTGGGTCAATGCTTGCCTCCGTTATGGTACGGTACTTGTTTCCTGAGACATTCAACGTCCGAACTACTCTAGGAGGTGGTGCATCTCTGGTTCAGGGTGTGTTCATTGAGGCTCTTCTTACTGCTGAGTTGGTCTTCACCATCTTCATGCTTGCCAAAGAGAAGCACCGAGCCACATTTATTGCTCCCGTCGGTATCGGCCTGGCCCTTTTCATTGCAGAGATGGTCGGTGTCCAGTTCACTGGCGGGTCGCTCAACCCTGCCCGAAGTTTTGGCCCTTGTGTCATCACCGGTACCTTCGACTCTGAGCACTGGATCTACTGGGTTGGTCCTGGCATTGGCTCTCTCATCGCTGTCTGCTTTTACTGGTTCATCAAGACTCTTGAGTACGAGATGGCCAACCCTGGCGCCGATGGTGATGATCTCAACGATCCTACTAAAAACCCTGAAAAGCGAGCTGAAATCCAGTCTAACGCTGCCCCTTCAATTGCCTTTGGCGGTGGCAAGACCCCTTCAATTCGCAGCTGAATGACGAGGCCATGAAAACATGACTCTTATGAGTGAGGGCGAGATGGATACGGTCCATCAACGATTACACGATGAAAGTTGATGAGCAAACTCAATGATGCTTCATGAGATCAAATGCATGATAAATATACACGAAATGCGAACACGCCAGAGATGGATAGAAAATTGGAATTTGCTATTTGTTTATACGGATGTTGTGCCTTAATGGTTGGAGTTCGGTTTGGCGATTCGTTAATTTTGTATTGCCCGGCACATTTGGTGCTTCGAGGCTGATTCCTCCAGATGAAGGAGTGTATATATAGAGCTTTTGGGTAGAAAGAATTGGCACAGGTCTCCGACTGGAACCCCTTTACACACAATTTCCCAAAGAGCACTTGACTCTGGGGTCGCCTTGATTACAACATATAATGTTCTCGGTCTGATATAGTTGTATATTCAGGAATCTCTACAATGCTAGTTGGCGAGATGATGGCCTAGTGATATCTCTGACATCCTAGGTCCTACCAAAACTGTTTTTCCAAAGACACTTGGTCCTGGTCTTCAAGTTCGCGAATCCTGTGACTCTGCTGTGATCGTGGACCTAGCTCTTGTCCAATGCAATATTGCGTCCAGTCCTATTCATCTCATACCACCCTCCCAGAACCACCCAAACCTTATTTTTGGATATATATCGGACTGCAAGGAATTGATGTTTGACGTTGCATCCTTATTCTATAGCTGTCTGGCGTCTGTTGCGCTGGCGTCGAGCTCGAACGACGCTCATGATGAAGCAGACGATACAGTACGAGATAGCAAAGCCAATGACACCCCCAAGGCTACCAAGCATGAAGCCTGCTCCAGCGTCTCGAGAGAAGCCGTCAGGGAGAGATCGACCAGGTTGAGGGGTTTCGAGGGTCCCGATAGCAGGGTTGTTCATTGTTGTTGCTGGTGATAGTTCGGGACAGGGGGCTCCAAGGTTCTCTCTTATAGTCGTATTGTGCAAAATGTTTCTGGTGTATGTTCTCCTGTATTGTATCTGGTTAGGTAATATTTTCACTATGGAGGCATGGGTCTAGAGAACTCACTTCTGTCGATGGAATAGAGCTTAGCAATGTTTCTTTCTGGTTAAAATCTAGACGAATGTATAGTTCTGAATGTTTCGGGAGTTGTATTTGTATTGCTGCAAGAAGAGTCGAGGTTGGGAGGACGCAACATGGTAAACAGAAGGGAAGGTATAGTTGCTACAGCGTTTGTATGCAGCAACATGGTAGTGACAGTGGCATCCAGTTTGCAAATAGCACTGAACATTCAACTTCAAACGGAGTTAATGGAGGAACTTGGGGGAGGGGGTAGCTAACTAATTCGTTCGTTTGTTCATGTTGAAGCGAACAGTGATTCATTGTTTGGTTGTGCTCGTTTGTAAAGTGATGAACAATGTTGAGAAGTTATCTATCTGCAGAGTCAGTAAGTGTCTGTATCTCATGTTCATTGGGATAACCTAACATCTTCTGGCTGACGAATATTATTGTTTGGGTTAAGCTCCATGGATAGATGAACCGTCTGAACCGTTTCGGAATTAGTCGTGGCATTGGCCCATTTGATAGGATGAAAACATGATTCCAAGATCAACGTGAAGTTAATACAGTATTCTAAATTTATCGTAAATGCAAATACTTTAAGTTTAGAGAACATGGTAGAGTTATCCGTTCCGCACTTTAGCTTCAAACTTTACGATCTCACTTCCACTTTGACTTACATCCAATGGTCACTATTGATCATCTATCATGACTAGTATCTGGTTCATCCTATGACCACCAATTCCACTGACGACTTTCCATCTTCAAGTTCCCACTCTGAAAATGATCCTCCAACAAGCTCGCAAGCAAGCCCCGTTGGCTCAGTGGTAAAGCGTATCACTAGTAATGATAAGATCACTGGTTCGATTCCAGTACGGGGCAGATGAACTTGTTCTTTTGACATTTTTGCTGAATTCTCAAAGTCTTTGTGATATGACGATATCATGAGATAAGTGACCATTGGTGTTGAGACTGACTTTTGTGGTTTCCATTTTGTTACTACGATATTCACTTGTGCAGGCTGCACCTTGGTGAACGTCTGAAAGGCAGAAAGAAGCACAGCAGAGCGAGAAACAGTCCTTCCCCGTAAACGTAAAGTTACCTACTGAAACGACGTATGAACATGGATCAAGTCTTTTGATGCATCACATCGGGATGACCGAGTCTCGGTTCGAGCCGTGTACGGATAGTGGGGGGGATGAGATGAGGGAACATCATGAATGCCTAGTCATCAAAGAACGTGGTTGTCACGTCTACCCTAAACCAAACACTCACTCAGTCTTGTTTGCAATGCTTATTTATGTCCAGACGATAAATGAAACAGAAGGCCATGGCCAGATCACATACATATCTACAAGTCACGGGAGATCTTTGCTCTTCCTTAGCCAGTACAAATGTGCCCCATGACATGTCTCAGTTCATCACCCTAGTCCAAATCATAGCCGTGATGACTTCACGAGAATCACTTCATCCCAGCCAAAAAGCGGAGAGTCTTGGTCAGTGCAATCATCAAGATCGGGCATGAAAGAGCAAGGAACAAGAAGGAAGTGGAACCAGCATTAAATTTCACTCGATCCCAGTCTCGTCAAGATGGCGCGTGCCTTTTGAATCGATTGATGAAATGGCGTTTTATAGCCCTGTCTCTTTTAAAATGTGTCTTATTTATGGCAACTAACCAAGCAAGCGACAAATGCAGATGCTTTCGTTTCGAATCACAGGAGAGAGTCTAGAAGGAGAGAGAAGCAGGTATCATCATTCAATTAAAACAATGGAACCGGGATTCAAAGTTGAAGTAAATTAAAATTGATGTCATCCGCCCACTCGGCCCCCTTTTCGCTTGGGCATGTTGGTTGATACAGTACATGATGATAGGCGTTGCCGAGCCATGGCTGGGTAAATGAGTGGAAATTTGGCGAAATAGAGACTTGATAACGAGGTCTACACCAAGAACAATAGGTTCATGACTACTAGAATGTGCTGTGATGAGGTGAATTCGTTGTTGCCAGTATCTCAAAATAGGGGTTCTCAGTTAATTACAGGCTCAGGAGCAGTCCGCATGTAATGCATTGTCTTGTCTTGTCCTCCAGTCTCAGCCTCTTATGTATTGATGATGATGATTTGGGGGGCGTGTGTGTTCCACCAGATACGACCTCGTCCATCCAGGCCATATCTCGGCTGTTGATTAGCCATCAAATCGATACGGAGAAGTCATATCCATTAACTAGCCATTAAACAAATAGAAACCTTCTCCTCATCTGCTCATCAAGTCTCGAACAGGGCAAGGGGGGTCGTATCACCGCCTGTTTGCGGGGGCGTAAGGACTATTCAAGGTTATTTGATCAATGCACGGATATTGACGACACACGAGGAGAAGAAGAAGAAGAAGAAGAATGTTGTGTTACATTTATCTGACAGTTTCGATGGATGGAAACTATCGTTCGAGTTTAACCTGAGCGACATAATCATAAGCTGAAAGATATCACTGCATGGAGAGTTTATGCAGAATGTCTTAGACTTTTCCTCCTCACGTACGTTTTCAACCACGTTGTCACATCTCCAGACCAAGTTATTGAGCCTCTAACCGTTTTCACACTGATCATCACCTCTTTGTTCTAAACCGTTATATCATCATCTCTTCTTTCAATCCGCATCCGTAGGTGGAAAAAAGGTTCACTCAAAGAACCTGAACTTCCCAACCTCATGCACACCCTTTCTCGACATCACACGCCCCCCTCCCCTCTCTATCAAATTCCCCTTGAACTACCAGAAAAAGCCGCTAATTCCAGGGGACCTTCTGCCCTAGGGACAGCTGGAGTGGATCTTGCAGTGAACCCCTCCCCCTAACAGATGCGCTGTGCGCGTGGGCGTCGGGTCGCGTGTGGGGCAAGAGGGAGAGCCCACCTCAGGAAATGGCTAAGGTAGCTTTAGCTCTAAAGGTAGAACCCGTCCCTTGGAAACTTCCATTAATTACGGCCACTACAAGTGCCTCTTGTCTTTAGAGCTGAGCTCCCGTCTCATTTCTCCCTCCATCATTCTCATTCTCAACTCTCCATCGCTTTGCGCCTTCAACTGTGATACCCAATTCCATACTCCTCGACCTTTAGCTTTACTTCTCAGCTTCTATCATATCAACCTTCTATAATCAGCAATATGACTCTCACCGATGAAGAGCTCGACCGCGACTGGCAGCCCAGTGGCCGTCGCCCTCAATCGTCCGTATCCCCCTATACTCACCTCAATTGAAGACGCCCGCCATGTCGTCTACAAAATCAATGTGATCGCGAACCAAGACCTAACACGCCTCTCTCGTATAGTACCATCGCCCGCTCTTTTAGTGCAGAGTTGATGGACATCTTCCGCATCGAGAACTCGCTCACCGATCTGGATCAGCAAGTCCACGATAAGTCGGTCTACCACTTGCTCACCGTTTCACAACAGAAACCTTGCATCTAACCGCCTTTCACCTTCAGGAAGCAAACAGTCGACAAGAACACCGAAGAACTCGCCTCTCTCGAAGCCCGCATCCGCGAAATGGAAGATCGCCTACGTCGCTCTGTAGGCGGCAGCACCCAGCAGCGCTCTCCTCTGCCACAGGTCCAGACACAGACCGCCAACCAGTCCCAGACTCAGCAGCAGCAGCCAAGCTCCCTCGAAGCTCCCACGGACGACTCCAAGGCTCGCTCACGACCGGGAACGGCCCGCGCTGCTCAGCAAGCTCCCTCCTCGGGCAACATGCCCCCGACCCCGGGTGCCAGTGAAGGTGAATACTACGTCGTCACCCGCGATGACTTGCAAGACGGCCCGCGCTGACGAACATTTTTGACTTTTTATAAAGATGGAGATCATGAATAAAGCAATCTGACCTTTTTTGCTGCTCCCTTTCTCTCCATGAACCATTCAATTCTGTCGAGGGCAACTCTCACTCACCACCGCCAGTCAGCCTCTTACAAGAGAGTTGTCGCCCCTCATGAGCTAGTGGACGGTAGCGGGCGCGGAGAACCAACGGCTGAGCTGCATTCAACCCTTGGCCAGACCGCAATTCGCACTCTAACCCGACCGTTCATCTTTATGGGGAACATGTTTCAAGACTCACTCGGCGCGCCCCTCGACAACTGGCCAATTCATTGTTTCGAAGAAAGCCACGAATTACAGCCGAGGCGCATTAATAACGTCAAACGCCCTCGACTATTTTTTTTATTTTTAATTAACAATGCTTTCCGGTTGCTGGAGGAGTTTTCAGGAGCCGGGGGAAAATCAACGGCGCATCCCCAGCCTGAATGTTCCCCCCCCTCCTTTTTTTGTCGTTCGCTACCAAGATTCCCGGCGTTCATAGAGGCAGCATTTGCAACATCATTTTATCATCATTATTTTCATCCTCTCGCTTCAACTGTTGCGTCAGGCTGCTGCATATTGTTTATGGGAGGATAGCGTCCACGTCCACGTCTAGCATAGGTGTGGATGTGTATGAGTGCGTGGATTGGATGGACTGGACTGAGACTGTTTGTATGAGATGAGATGAGATGCGATGGAATGAATAGGACGGGAACGTATTTGGATGCACTGGTATGCGTGTCACAATTGATAGCAAGTGCATCAACAGTACCTCAATCGACTTGAATTCACGGCCGAAATAATGAGGTTTATATGTATCTTTTCCAGTTACGGGTGGAAATACACAGGTAATCCTTTACCTTGTCACTTGAACAATGCCTCACTTCTGCCCTTGAGTTCTGATATCGCTTTGACTTTATTACACATGACTGGCTCTAGCTCTTCTCATCTTACAAAGCATCACAATAGCCGACCTGTATCGCCAGCTCCAGAATTACATACTGACATGCTCTAAAATGCTGAACGCGAATCCACACTACCACCAACACTACCATTCATCGATATCATCGAGATCCTTGTTGGCAAACCCGACTTTGTTGTTCTCGAGATCAAATGCAACATATAAAGCCTTGAGCGCAATATCGCCAATGATGGTAACACCCAAGCTCTCTGCACTCTGCAAACCGCCCCAGCAGTAGTCCGAATCGTTGTCGGTTGTGCTGTAGCTGAGGTACGGTCCAGGAATCTTCAGAATGTGCTCTGTGCCTGGCACCTTGAACATCAAGTCTGGAAGATCGTTGGAAAACTTGCAAGGAAACGTGAACGAGTCGCCGAGACGAGGATCAACACGCATGTCTGGAACGTCGTACCAGTACATACTGGCAAGATCTCCGGGCAGAAACAGCAGCGTCGTCCCCGTGTCGATAGTAGCCTCAAAGGCGTGTGCCATCCAGACTTGACGAAGACCGGCCCAGGCTGTGGTATCGAATGTGACGTCCCAATGGGGGCTATCCTCTCGCGTGGCCATCCACGAAATGTTGTCCTTGGCTCGGCTCTCGTCAATATAACCGAAATCGAAGCGACCTGTCGCATTTCGACGCATATCAACAGTGAAGACTGGATCATCGAGTAGTGGACGAAGCTTATCAAGGAGAGACGGAGTCGGAGGGTCGATGTTGCTAGGAAGAGACTTGGCAAGGCCCAAGATGCCAGTGAGTTCAGTTTCACGCTCAAAGCGAGGAGCAACGATCTGAGCAGACTGGATAGCTGTGTTTTTGAGTTCAAAGTCTCCCAGGCGGACGGTATCGAGGTAGACGATGCCATCAGCATGAGTTCCGTCGACTATCAAACAGGTCAGCATACCATGTCCCGACGGCATGAAACGAGAGATGATTCTCACCATACTCGACTTCCCATTCGGCATCGCGAAGTCGGTGAGATGTCTTGGAAGAGTTGGGCTTGTATCGAGGAGCCCAGGGACCTTCAGGGTTGGCTCGATAGATTGTGTCTGTAGATTGCACCCACCTGAAGTGGAGGTCAGCATAAATCATTCGTATCTCAGGGCATGCCTCTCACAAGTCTGCAGAGCCAGTGTCGAGGGCCATCTTGAGGGTCTGAGGCGGAGTTCCAACTTTGACGTCGGCGATGTAGATTTCATCTGCCCCAAGGGGCTTCACATCGACACGACCATCTGCAGAATGGTTAGCATATGAATGTACGACAAGTATTAGAGTCAATACCGTCATCAAGAAGTGAGAATGCGGACAAAGTCTCTGGAGAGACAGCCTTCCCCCATTTCTGATGAGCTGCGACCCATTCTCGAACGAAATCGGGCTTGGAATTCGAGTTCTTGGCAGCCTCGAGAGAAAATCCCTTTCGGCCTTTGTGCTGAGGAGTGGCAGCAGTAGAAGAAATGCTGACTACCAAGAGCACAGCAAGAAAAGCGAGGCTCCTCATGATTCAGATTGAAGGAGACGAGTTGAGGGTTGGTAAAGAGGGCGAAAGAGAAAGAGAAGGTTGAGAAGAAGAACTACGAGATAAGCAAGAGTTGACTGGATGTTGTAATACACAGGAAGGTGTAACTGAGAGAGATTGACGAAGGAAACAGAGGAAGAAGGAGGGAAAACCGGAACTTGGTAGACAGCGCCAGTGAATCATCTAAATATCAGACCCAGAGGGAGGTGCTACAGTTACAGCTATCAACACTGCCGGACACTTTCTCGGCCAAGACAGTATAACACTACCTGTCAAAACCTGCTTGCTATTGCAGAAATCTAGCTCCCGTTATCCTCGCAACGTCTCATTCGAGTAGTATAAGCCGAGGCCCCTATATCGCCAACATCCATATTTAGGTCATCGGCCACGCTCTGTACCACCCAAAAGTCACTCCCCGTAGACGAGCCCATCACCTCGCGCCGACCATTACACAACCTCTTGTAATCAGGTCGTTTTTCTAGCCTGCAGCTCCAGGGACAAACACGGGAACCTGCAACTGCGACGTAACAATGCATGAATATCCAATCCACGTCTCTGGTAGCAACAATCGACGACGGCACATTCGATATTCCATTTTGGAGAAGACAGATATGGGGGGACCTGTACTCGACTTGGGTCGTGAGATTGGCTCACAAGACCATGAGGATGGGTAACGACACTACTAAGCTAGGTAGCTAGACATGGACGTGGAACGGGTAGAGACAGGAAAGGACACGATATAATGCTTCGTTACTCGCGGATCCGTCGACCAATGTATCTAAGCGATACGGCCCGTGGAACAGGACCGACATATCCGTATTACCTGACTTCACTAAACATCTCACATTTGATCCCGTTCATCATTCATCGGTGAGAAATTCACATGTCCCTCTTCATGGTATTCTACTTCATATGGTAAGTATAGTCAGAGTCAGATATTCTATCGTTCGTCATCTGACCCGGTATCAATCAATCAAGCTGCGTATCAACAATCAGCTCCACCTTCTTCTTTTTCGTTATAGGAAAGCCAAGATCAAAAGTCAATACGCCATCGTCTATAGTTCGTCGTGAGTCTGCTTCTTCTCTCCCTCGCTCTTCTTGTTCTTCTCATTCTTCTCGTTCTCCTTCTTCATATCATTGAGCAACTTCTCGAGCTGCTCCTTATCGATCTCACCATCCTTCATGAAGTCCTCAGCGTTAAGCTGCACTGTCTCTTGTGATGCCTCTCCGCTTGTTGTCTTGCTCTTCTTGCTCTTCTTCTTGGCCTCCTTGGCAGCCTTCTTGGCTTGTCGGTTCTTCTCCTCCACCTTTCTGGCACCCTTGAGGGCGGCCTCAACGCTGACCTTCTCCAGCTTGTCACGCTTGGTCTTGAGGTCCTTGATGAGGAGCACAGGATCGGCAGTGGCAGCAAGCTTAGACTGCTTGGCCTCGAGGTTATTCAACCAGTCCAGAGTGGCCTTGTGAAGATCAATGACTTCCTTGAGATCCTCCAAAGTGTACAGAGGAGGAATAGGTCCCTTCTCTCTAATGACTTGCTCCATCTTGCGGGCCTCCGCAACCGCGGGATCTTCGTCTTCCAGTCCGTCAAAGTCACCTGTGGCCTTCTCTTGCGCAGCCTCTGTGCTGGAAGACTCAATTGATGAAGATGCAGAGGCGGACTCAGAGGCAGACTTGTGCCAACTCTCATGCTCGGCAATCTGCCCCTTGATCTTGTCAACGAATCCCTGGGTGTTCTCCAGAGTCTGCTTTAGTGCAGTAAGGTATTCAGGTCGCTTCTCGGTCTCTTCAACTCTCTTCTGAATGGGTGTGACCAGGTCCTTGAGAACCTTGAGCTTGGACTTAAGAACATCCTTGCTAGCCTCTGCACCATCAGCATAGAGCCAGTCACTTGTCTCGCTGGCAAGTTCTGCCAACTTGGTCCTCTCCTTCTCGGTAGAAGCCGCGATAAAGGCATCTCCCTCAAGGAGATCCCTAATCTTGTAGGTGAATGCCTCAAGCTGGTTGAGAGCCTCCTCTCGCTGTAGGCGCGCCTTGTCAGACGCAGCAAAGGCCTTGAGACGGTCCTTAGACTTGGAAATCTCGGCCGGTGTAAGGGCAGGAATACCACGGTTCTCAATGGTGATCTCAACAGGGATACCAACAATCTCTCGCTTCTTGGCCTCAGGCTTGACCTCCTCGGTGCTTCCAGAAGCGGCAGAGTCGGCTGCTGAAGCGGTAGCAGACTCAGGAGAGGCAGTGGGAGAAGAAGACTTGTTATCCTTCATCTCTTCCTCAGAGCCTTCACCCTCCTTGAGAGGCTTCTGATCCTTCTTGCCAAAACCAAACAAATTCTTGACACCATCTACAAGGCCTTCCTTAACCTCGGCCTCGCACTCAACAGCAGCCTTGGTAATCTCAACCTCACCATTCTCGCCGCTGAGCTTGACACCGAGCTTGAAGCGAACCTCAGACTCAACGCAAGAGGGGTACTTCTGCTTGATAGCAGCGATAGTGGCAGTCAAGTTCTTGGTAGCCAGAGTCTTAACATCCTTCTCATCAGAGCCAATTTGCTGGTAGAAAGTAGCAGTGAAGTCCTTCTCGTTGGTGAATGTAAGTTCCTTAGGGGCAGCGCCTTGAGGGGAGACGGCAGACCAGAGTCGCTGGTGCTGAGTCTTTCCCTCCTTGGCCTCCCACTTCACACCAGAGGGGTAGAAGCCACCCTCGGCAATTCGGATCTCCTTGACACGGAAGCTGGGGCTGAGCTCAGCAGCGCGGAAGCCAGCACCGAAAACGGCGGCCTCATCAGAGTTGACGTTGGATCGAATCTTCTCAGGAGAGCCAGAGACCTTCTCAAGGACCTTCTGGACGAAAGGGGTGCGAGAAGCACCACCGTGAAGGATGATAGAGTCGATGTCAATGATGTCGAGGTTAGCGGCCTTCAGGGCATCGTTGATAACAACAGTGATTCTCTCAGCATGCTCAGCAGCCATCTCCTCGAATTGAGTGCGGGTAATCTTGTATCGGAAGTCGATGTCCTCGTACAAGCCCTCGAAGCTGGCTCCGGTGTTCTGGTTGGCACTCAAGACATGGCGAACCTTCTCGACCTGGTTGGTGAGCTTCGCAATGGCGCGGCCGTGGGACTTGACACTCTCAGCAGCGACAGAAGCCCTCTGAGCGGCCTTGGACTCGACGAATTGCTTGACCATATCATCTAGAATGAGGTAGTTGAGGGAGTCACCGCCAAGAGTGCGGTCCCAACCAGCGCCTAGGACGTGAACCTCCTGAACAGTCTTGTTGAACTTGCCAATATCCTTAATAGATCGGCCTTGGAACTTCAAGATGGTAGCCTTGGTGGAGCCAGCGCCCATGTCGAAAATGATGTTGTACTCGGGCTTAGATCCATTGCTGACGTTGGGGAACTCCCGGGTAGTAGCGTAGTTCAAACCAACGGCGAGACCATCGCTGAGAAGCCCCAGAACCTTAAGACCAGCAAGCTCAGCAGCTGTCTGAAGAGCCCGCTTCTCATCGGCGGTGTAGAAAGGAGGAACAGTCAGGACAATGGAGCGTACGGTGGTTCCGTCACCAGCGGCCACCTCAGCGTTCTTCTGGATGCTCTGCAGCTCCATAGCGAGCAGCTCCTCAACCATCCAAGCTTCCACATCGTCAGTAAAAGACTTGCTCTTGAATGCGGCGGTGCCTCGTGTAGGATGGGACTGCAATTGCAGCGCAGGGTGTCGGGCAGCGTACTCCTGAACCACAGAATCTTGAGTGGTCAGGCCGAGGATGGTCTTGAGGTTCGGGTAGACGTCGCTGGGGAATCGAGAGGCGAGAGCCATGGCGTCGGCACCGTAGGCCCTCTCGGGGTATTCGCCCTTCTGAGGTCCATTTCTGGAGGGCTTAAAGACAACGGCGGAGGTTTCTTTTCGTCGGGAGTCCTTCGTTAGGACAATCTCTAAAGGAATTCCAGGCTTGACAAGAGTGGCCTTGATGTACTCGGTACCAAGGTCGACACCCAGAACAGCTGAAATTGCGAAAACATTTGTGGTGAAGAGGAAGATTGTCGCCAAAAGCGTCATGAGTGGCGAGACTCGGGATGCCATGATGGTGGTTTTGGTGGGGTGCGCTCAGCTGCGCACACCAATTCACAGAGAGTATGTCTTTTTTTATCAACGAGGAGCGTTGCCTCTTGAGAAAAGAGAGCAAAAAGACGATATCGTCTATGGGCAGGAAAATAAAAAGCCCGGAGAAACTCTTTTCTTTGTATATATAAGTTAAAGAAGAGAGAGAGGACTGGACGATGTGGCCAGAATGGAGACCTCTTCCAATGGGGGAGCAAGAAGCCACGATGGCTGTTAGAAGCTAAGTTAGTGGAAGCGTCCAGCCACTCATGGAAAGAGGACAGCTAACAATAGGTATTATAGCGGCGGTGACGTTAGTTCTAATGCAAGGCTGAGAGACAGATAAGACAGAAAACTCGAAATTATTGGAGCGATAAGAATTTACAGTGGAACATTCGAGTCAAGGCCTCGCTCTAGCATCGAGTTCGCTTGACACATCAAAGCCCCAGGGATTCCCCAGCTACCGACCGAATAGTGACAAGTGGCCTATTTGGTCTCAGAAGTTCATGATGTTTGGTAATTAGGCTATAAATTATGATGGCGTGGAGGTAATCTTGGGTAATTTCATGATCATACTGACTCGATTCGCAATTGCATAGTATGATTTGGGGATAAGAGTTGAACTTTGATATAGACATCATACGGTTGACTAGACGCATGAACGTTTCTCTAACTGCTATGCAAACAAGACATGTTTCTTGGTGTTTGATCTCATAGAGTATCAGGTCTACCTGAAAGCAATATCCAGTGCTGTCTCGTTATGGCCTTATCATGAGATTGAATGCACGTGGCCTTTGCTCTTCTTCTTCAATGAACAAAATGTGGTCAATTTATCTACCAATAACATGACACTTTGAGCTCCCCACATTCTCCAAGACCCCTGTCAACCCTATGACGGCACACTTTCGAGCTCTAGCTTCGGCCCTTAGCCTTGCCATGAGGCAACATAACATGTCCAGCATCATATAATGAGACGATACTCTTGACGTAATATGTAGTTCCGATCTTCATGGTAGTCTTTTGAACCATACTATAACTCAATGGCTCAGTTTACAATCTTCACATGACTTTGAATCATGTGTCACACATCAAACACATTTGGCGGGTATCCATTCACATTATTTACCTACTGCCCAATCCCCGGAAGGCCTATTTTGTTACAAAGGTATAGAGAACTCCAACCGAAACCGTGGCCAGATGTATATCCGAGTCCCAAAATCATCAAAACCCCAAAATGCAAAGTCCTCAAGTCCACCGTCCGTCCCCTGGCTATTCGCCCTAGATAGAAATCTTGACTTGTAAACGCCGTCATCTCATGGTGTACATTTGCCTCCGGGAGATAAAAGGAGATTCGTAAGTTTGTGTGTTTACCGCATGCCATGTTTCGAGGTACTTAAGCCTCATCGCCGCGTCGTCCGCCTCGACCAGCACCACCACGACCGCGGCCGCGGCCACGACCATCACCGCGGAATCCACCTCGACCACGGTGCTCGCCTCGTCCGCGACCTCGGTGGTTGCCACCTTCGTGACGGGGACCCTTTCGCTGCACCTGGTGGAATCCGTCGTTGGGATCAGCAGGGGCAGTGGTCTGATTTATTAGCATCTGATCGTATAATATGGAGTAAACAATCGACTTACCTCCGGGTGGTCATCAGCCCAAGAGTGGGTGTTGGCAACGCGAGTGGGAGCAGCAGCATCGGCCTCAACAGCCTCGGCAGGCTTCACATCGACCCACTCCTGCGAAGCGGACAGATCGTTACTCGTGTCCCAATGGCTTTCGGCGACAGCATTAGCAGCCTCATCAGCAACACTGGCGTTGGCCAAGCCGTTGGAGGTGGAAGAAGGCTCAGTGACAACGGGAGCGGCGGTGTCGCCAGCCTCAATCTCGGTAGCGGCAGCGTGCGCAATAGTAGGATCGGTAGCAACTTCCTTAACGTGCTCAGCGTCACCCTCAGCAGGCTGGGGCTCGTCAAAGTGAGTCTTGTACTCTTGAGCGAGGGCCTTGACCTTGGAGACTAAGTATTGTTAGAAGAGACAAGTCTGAAATTAGGCCGGATGGGGATACTCACAAGAGGTCTGTAGTTGCTCGCCAGGTACGCTGAAAATCTGATCCTCAGAGCCATTGACAAGCTTCAGCATAGACTGGACAGCGTTCTCGTCACCAGAGTAGATGGCAAGAAGCACACCCTCGATAGCTTGGCTCTCATCAGAGTCGGGGTCCTGAGCTTCCTCGCGGCGGTAGGCAGCAAGTCGCAAGAATTGTGAGAGGACGAGGAGGTTGTCATGGAGAGCCTTGGTAGACTCAGCTTTGGCCTCTGCAACAGCATCGGCCTTGGCCTTCTCCAAGTTCTTCTCCCATTCTGCCTTGTCACTGGCGGCACGTGTGCGGTACTGCTCGTCAACCTTTTGGTATTGCACAAGCTGTTCCTCGTATTGCGCTAGCTGGGCCTGCAGAGCGGGCTTCTTGAGGATCTGGGCCTTCTGGTCGTTGTTGATGATTCGAGACTCGACCAATTCATCAAGGGACTTGCCGGGGTTCTGGCTCAGGAGGGAGTCGGTCTTGGAAGCGTTGGTCTAACGGTAAAGTCAGTATGACGATGATCGACAGTTGGGCTGCAACAAGGCAAAAAGGCACGTACGATCTTCTTGTTGACATTTCGGATGTTCCTTTGTAGCCGTTAGCACTCTACCGTCTTTGCATATTAACTCAAGCTCCAAAAACGTACTTTTGGATCTCCTTGATGTATGGGCTCTCGAAGCTGTCATCGCTGTTCTTATCGGCAGTGGCAGAGGCAACGCTGGGCGCAGGAGATTCGGTTCGCTCGAGGGCCTTGGCGGCCTTCTTCTTCGCGGACTTGGAAGGCTGAACAGCTTGAGCAGCCATCGCGGTAGGATGCAGAGATCGTGTGATTGTTGGTAGAGTTTGCGCGGAGACGTTACGGCACTGTCAACGATGTGTACGACAGGCTTACAGAGGCGATGGTTCGTTGAGTGTTTAAGTAATTGAAAACGCTAAATGCTAGAGATGCGTTTAGAATGTTTTGGAGGAGAGAGAAGAGTTGAGTTTGGGAGAAGCAGTTGGTGGAGAAGAGTAAGGTGAGGTAGCTGAGCTGGAGCAGGAGAAGGAGAAGTCCGAGTTGTGGTACAACGAAGCTTTGCCTTGCCTGTCTGTGCCCGCCAGTGCCAGTGCCAGCACCAACACTAACCTCAGAGTGCCCAGGCAACCCCCTGCATTGACACTGTCATTGTTTCTGGCCGAGAATACGGGGCTGCCTATTGCTCTATACAATTATGGCCTAAGATGGTTTCACATTATGATGAATTTTAGGTTGGGTACAGCATTTTCTTTATGAAGACTCATCCATTGTTTGTCCTAATCTATGTTGTTTGTACGGATAGAGACGGAGTGTTCTCTCGTTGGTCTGCATCATCGTCATGACAAGGAAAAGCCCCACCCAACCGTCGCATTCAGCTGAGGTTAAGTGGATGAGGTGGTCTCGTGCGCAAGCGCCATGTTCTTTCAACCTCGCGATGCCCTCCTCCCGGTCGCGGAATCCGTCAGGGGTTATCATACAGTGGCTCAATTCCCAAGCCTGTAATATTTGCCGTGTATGTGATACTGCTGTATCATGTCGGATGTCGCGGCTATGCCTGTATGGCTCTCAATGGCGGCGCGGCTCTTGAGGATCTTAACACTGTAAGTTCGGTGGGTTTTGTTTTTTGTCGCAATTATTCGTTTTCTTCAACCCTTAAATTTGGTCAAGGTATCCTAGACAGCACGGATCAGCAGATGCGGAGAGACGATGCTTCACACGACATACTCTCGTCACCTTCTTGACGCTCCTCGCAGAGAGACCTCGTTCGCCCGACTGTTTCGAATGGATCGCCGCTTCTTTGATAAGACTTTTGATTTAGTTAGCTTAGGTCGTCGCGGTATAGGAAGATTCGTCGAATTCGTACGTTTCCATGAATAGGACGTAGTCGAGGAAGATCTAAGACAAGTAAGTAAACATTAGCAGCATTTGCGATCATGAGAACGTCTAAACGCACAGTAACATCGGCATTCTTCTTTAAATTATGGTTTGAATGAGCCTTGATGATCTTCTTGACCGTCGCTTTGGGGTATGGTTTCTTTCCGAGCGCCATGGTTGAAGAGAAATGGTTGTTGTTTTGTTAGTTTGCAGTGTTGACAATGCGCGTTCTACCGCTGTTACTCTGACCTCACTGATCTAAACTTCGGGAATAAGCCAATCGGCAGCGCCCGAGATGCCTACAGTACGTACCTTGAGCGCCACACCCTCAAATCGAAGAAGCCCCTGTCTCCCATTGAGGGGTGTACAGTGCCAGGTCGACGGCTGAGAATCTGCACTGTAACCCACCTTTGGATTGGGATTGATTGTGCTCAAGGCTCACAAGCTTGAGATCTGTACAATAGCGATAGCATCTTCAGTCTCCCACCATGGCTTCATTAGTACAACGTCGTATGGTAAGTCATCCATGATCACAAGTATGATCCTACTATTTCTGACAGCCCTCTAGCTTTCAAAGGCGGACGAGGAGGCAGCGGACGAGGTTGAGGTTCGACGTGAGGACCAGGACAAGATCAACAGATTCAGTCGCCTACACCAGCGAGAAATCCTTTTGGAGGAGGAACTGAGCACAAAAACCGTACGTCTACGAAATACAAGCATCGGAATGCCTCCAGAGCCTCTCTGAACACCGACTGATTCAGTATTGCTATGTAGAAGGAAAAGGAAGAGCTCGACGATTTGTCCACCGAACTTGAACTCGCCGACGAGGACGAAAAGATCCAGTACGAAAGCGAAATACCCCTCAAAGCGAAAGCGAAAACACAGTAGACTGACTTCGACACAGATACAAGATTGGCGATGCATTTTTCCATGTCTCGGTAGAGCAGGCTCAGGAGATGCTGGAGCAGGCAACAGAGAAGCTCGAGGAAGAGTCAACATCTTTGGAGGAGAAGCTATCATCTATCCGCGAGGAGATGACCAAGCTCAAGGTCGAGCTATATGCCAGATTCGGAAAGCAGATCAACCTAGAGACTTGAACAAAGAAAGTCGAAGCCTGATACCCCCTCCAAAGAAACCAAAAAAGCCACACCGATTCAGCCGGAAGAATTCTTATCCAGTCTCCCGTGAATGCAGCAATTCTTCTGCACATAGCAACGTTTGCGGGCAACCTTATTTGTAATCCCATTGGGGGTCGCCGGTCACGCACTCCGGTATCGAGAGCCGGGTCAGCAACTTGCATGTCTATGGAAGAGCTCACCTCCTTAGTCTTGTGTCCGGTGGCTATTCCCGGTTTATCGGTCACCAAGAACCACTTCGATCAACCCCAACTTTGATGACCAAACAACACCGATTCGCTCGCTCTTTGAGTTGATTGAAGCTAATGCGGGACCAACCCTCCAGACTATCGAGAATTGAGCTGTAGTACCCTGGGAACTGCTCCGGGGAACGATAACAAAGGTTCTCATGACGCCCTGCGACCTCCCCTCACCTGCGGAAGAGGCTCCCACACCCGCCGCCTCCATCATCGGCGCCGCGAATCCCACCTTTTACCCACGAGTGCCCCATATTTGAGGCCCGGCTCCGGATCTCCTGTTGTGGTAGTTATGGGGGCTTGCCACACAGATGCCTCCATGCATTGGATTACGCCTTACAGTAGCAACCCAAATGAGATCAGGAAGAGGGAGGGCGTAGCCACTTAGCCAATGGATATGCAAACCCCCGTATCGGCCATTTTTGAAGTGTCATGGGGAAGAAGAGTGCATGCAGAACCTATCCACTTCGTGTGTTTGTCCGTATTGTTCATTCTTTTCTTTTCAACATCATATGAATGTAGCTGCTACTGCTGTTTTACTCTTCCAATTGATTGCTTTCTCATGTGAATAGCTTCAGTGCGTCCATTCACCAAGAAACCATGGCTGCAAGTGAATCCAGTGAGACTACACGGGAACCGTCACCATACCGTAAGTCGTTGCTAATATTCTTCTTCTTCCCAAGACTAAACTGTTGTATTCTGGAGTGAAGTCAAGCTCACAATTTGTTAGGTGGACGGAGGAGAAGCAGCTCATTCTCAGATCATATACATCATCTCGACGAAATCGAGGCTCAATCTCGGTATGAAGAAGAGGCAGCGGACCGAGGTCTTGGCGCCCTTCACAACATCCGTTCTCGGACCCGGAGCCGCACAAATGAAGTCCTCGTCACTTGGGAAGTTGACGATCCTGAGAACCCAGTAAATTGGTCAGATGTATGTCCTTCATCCTGCTTTTTTTATTTTCAGCAGAATGGCTTTATTAATTGTAGAGACCTATAACAGACAAAAAAGAAAATAGTTGTACTATGTACATCCGTTCTCGTCATCAACTCTACCATGGGTTCTGCCCTTCCAAGTATGGCCATTCCTGATATAACCAAAGACTTTGGCATCACTTCAGAAGAACAGAGTGTCTTGCCCATTTCTGTTTACCTCATCGGCTATGTACTAGGCCCGGTTGTTTGGGGTCCTCTCAGCGAACATTATGGACGGAGGGATCTAAGTCTAGTCACCTTTTGTCTCTTCACCATCTTCACTATGGCTTGTGCTCTGGCTCCGACTTGGCCTGCTCTGTTAGTCTTCCGCTTCTTCTGTGGAGCTTTTGCTAGCTCACCTATTGCCATCGTGGCTGGTATCCTGGCAGATGTGTATAATGACCCGCGGACAAGAGGCAGAGCCTTTGCCATTTTCATGGTGGTGAGTATCTACTGATAATCTTCAAAAGTTCCTGCATGCATGGTATAAGCTGACCTGGCAATAGTGTACTACTGGTGGTCCCATCCTCTCTCCTATCCTATCTGGCTTCGCTGGCCCTAATATTGGTTGGCGCTGGGTCTTCTGGATTGCTCTCATCATCGCAGGCTTTACGCTCATCCTCATCATCTTCCTCCCTGAGACATACGGCCCGATTCTCCTCTCACGCCGCGCTCGAAAACTCCGCAAGCAAGATCCTTCATCTCGTGCCATTGCCCCTCGAGATCTCGAGACAACAGACCTAAGACAGCTTCTCACTGTGGTTCTGACTCGCCCTCTTCGCATGATCATATCTGAGCCCATTGTGACAACCTCTTGCGCCTATCTCGCCCTTGTCTACTCCATATTTTACATGTCTTTCCAGGCATTCCCAATCATCTTCCAAGACGTCTATGGCCTTTCGCCAGGCGTTACTGGCCTCGCATATCTTCCAATATTTGGTGGTGCAGCTCTGACTCTTCCCATCTTCTGGACATGGGATAACACACTTGCTCGTGCTACAGAGCGTAATGCCCCCTGGGTCCAACGCGAAGAGTATCGTCGTCTACCTCTAGCCTGTCTCGGTGGTCCCCTCTTTGTCGTCTCTCTCTTTTGGCTCGGCTGGTCTGCCCGTGCAGAGATTTCCTTCGCCGCCCCTATGCTTGCTGGTGTCTTGTTTGGGATGGGTTTCATGCTAATCTTCATGGCCATACTCAACTACCTCACAGATGCATATGAGATCTTTGCTGCCTCTGCGAATGCTGCGTCATCTACAACACGCTCTCTCTTTGCTGTTGTGCTACCACTTGCCACAAACCCCATGTTCCGTCAACTCCACATCAATGGTGCATGCTCTCTTCTCGGTGGTCTCAGTGCCCTCATGTGTTTCATTCCGTTTATTTTCATCTGGAAGGGTCCCAGCATCCGGTCTCGCTCAAAGTTCTGCATTGCGCTACGGGAGCGAAAGGAGGAAATGCAGCGGAAAGAGGAGGAGGCGAGAGCTAGAAAGGAGCGTTATGAGCTCAGAAGAGAAGAAAGAGAGAAGGAGAAGGAGGTCGTTTAATTATGGCACGGCTTCCTTCTTGTTGGTGCAACCTCTGGTCATCATTTCACCCGCGTTTGACCGGATTGCAGCATAAACGGTACACGGGAAGGCTTGTGAAGTCGCACAAAAGTCTGCCAATGAGTCAAGACACCTGATCTATTGACAAGGGAGCAGAATAATAACACTCTAGTATTAGAGATAGCATACGCAAAGCTTGTTAACTTCAGCAGGCTAAAAAGACAGAATGAATAAAATTCCCTAGTTCGACCTTCGTTCACAAGTACATGGTGCTTGTCATGTCCTCCCCATCCTAGGATATCTAGCATTTTCACAAGTGTGCTTGCCGGCCAATATAGCCGTGGTAATAAATTTCGTTTCCTTTAAACAGACTGTTACAGTTGAGTCGAGCCCTTTTCGGGCGTAGAAAGTTGTGTGTGGGGCCCCACGTCTTTGATACTGGTCGAGGAGTTGCTCGGGGGGGCGTCCTTGATACTCTCGGGTACCGTTAGCTGTGCCTTCTGGTCTTTCACCTTATTTGATTCCGCTTCTGTGCCCGTCTTTGCTTCTCCGTCCATGGCATCATTCGAAAATCGACTCCTCGGCGTGATAAATACATCTGTTGCGACAATGCTCTCTCTGACCACGCTTGGTGTAAGAGGGACTGTTGGGTACTCGGTGACTTCAGCAGCGTCGTCATGTTTCGAGTGTCGTTGACCGATCGCTTCGTGCATTAAAGCAACTACTCTATCACCCAAGCTTCTGGAAGACTGTGGCTTCGACATCTCCCTGTCCGGGACATGCAGGTGAGGCTCCCCCTTCATGTTGCGGATCTCTCTCCCCAGTGCTTGAAGCTCGGCATATCCAGATTCGGAAGGGCGAATCCCCATTTCGGGATATTCCATACAAGCTGAACTTAAGGCAGCATGTTTTCTGAAATGATCTTGATTGACACGATGTCTAATACCTTTGGATGGGATAATCCGTCCCATCTTTGACTTGACCAGCTCACCAAATTTGGTTGAAAAAGACCGTGGCAGAGTACGTGCACGCTGCTTTGCCTCATCAAGGGGCGCATCTGTGGCCCTTCTAGTCTGACCTTCAGACGTCATATGCTTGACCGCAAAATCTCTGGGATGCACTCTGTCTCTATCTGTCGCGTTCTTATTCCTTTCCTCTCTATTGTGGGACGGGAATCTGGACCAAGACTTCGGAGGCCCCGCGAGTCGTGCTAACCTCATATCCCCTGCTGATTCCCCTATCCTAGGTCGCATTGTGGCAACCCAGCGCTCAATGAGCCACTTTGAGTTCCCTGGCGAGGACAGCTCATCCGTTGTGGGAGTTAGTTGAGAGACCTCTCGTCTCGTATCCAAGACACTGCTGGTGCTATTTCTAGCTGCTCCTAGGTCATTTAGTGACCTGTTGGAGGACTGACTTCTCTGGCTCGGCTTTGTTGTGCTTAAATGAATACTGCTGCTGTGTCTTCTCTCAACTTCAAGTCTGATGGCCCGTTGCCACAGGTCTGTCGCGCTCTCTCGGCGCTTTAATCCTGGCTTGTGATACTCCTCGGTTGGCAGCCGACTCATGTGAGGTCGAATGCTCAAGTTCGAACGACCCTTTGACCTGTCACTCGCTTCTCTTTCGTGCCCTCCCAATCTTTCCACAGGGTCGAGCAGGTAATTTTGCCCTTTGGGTGGCCCAGAAGAGCCCTCTTTGTGTCGGAGGTCAATGCCATCAGATTTCGCCCTCAGGTGGCTCGGAATTGCCAGCTGGATTTTGTTTCTAAAGGATTTGTGGACAGTTGGTGGCAGCGAAGATTCGGAGAACTCCTCACGGAAACGTGTAACCACTCTTTTCTCCGGTTTCTTCAGTGCTAATGCTTCACTGAAACGTCGCCTAATGGACCCGAGCTCAGCCTCACGTTGCAGGAAGCTGGCAGATTCTGATTGAGCTAAGGAGGTCGTGTCTTGTGGAGCCTTCACTGGAAATTCAGCATTGTGAATGTTTCCATAAGACTGAGACCTTATCTGGGGCACGCCGGTATTCACACTCTTGGAGTTGTGGTCATTGGCATTATCCTGGTCTTGGGAAGAAGTATGGCTTCGCCCTTTTCACCAGGTTAGTCATTGAAAAGTGGTGGTTAGAAATCACTTACATTTGAACGGGGATAGCTCCATGCTATCCAGGTCCTTGGGGTCAAGTTTATAAAGATTCTGCTGGGATCGCATTGGACTAGGCTGTGACTTTGATGGGTCACCTGAAGACGTGTGGTCGGTAAATGAATTGAGAAGGGCTGTTACAGTAGGGCCCCATGGCAACTCTCCAGATAAGCTTGATATTTCGTAGCGATCATTCTTTGCATTGAAATTGGACCGAGAGTATGTTTCTACCGTGTTGGGTATGTCAATAATGGTTGGTGCATGGGGTATATTTGGATTTCCATTTGCTGGTGTCTCTCGACGCTCTCGGTCATGATCCCCCTCCGCCCGTTTCAGTGAAGAAGTATTGTAATCAGTTGGCTTAGTATCTTCAGTTGGTTCTAGTTCATCTTCTTCGTCAAGGAAAAGGGTTGAGTTGTCTCTTGAGCGGAGGCCCTGGGCTATGAGCCATACGCCAAGAGCAGAATGCCCATCTCCTGAAGAAGCATGACGGCTGTTGAAGCTGCTGTCTGGTCCCAGAATACGGTCGAGACGCCCAGTGCCGTTTGACAGCTGGAAAGATTTCTGAGAATGTGTGAAGTCACCGTCTTCGCTCGCTAAAACGTGCCTTTTGGGGTAAGAAGGAGAGGGCCTTGAATGCACATCATCTTGTCTCCAATCATCAGCGCCGTTAGTTGACTCTGATTTCTGTGAAAATGTTCTTTGTGGCCTATTTTCACCTTGTTGAGAAACTCGACTGTCTTGATGCGTGTCCTGATCGACCTGATCCGAGTCGAGTTGAGTAGAATGTCCATTGCGAGAAGAAGACTTGCTGACGCCGAATTCAATAGCATCTCGGGGTCCAGAATTAGGCAAGGTCACATCAACGGCTGAAGCCATACACCGGATACTGTTCGTGGGTTTACTCTCAGTGTGATCATCCGACTCATCTGACTTGAGTTCATCCTGAATCCTTTGGTGCATGATGCGCTTCAATTCGGCTCTGCGTGCAATCTCCTCTTCACTGTTCCCAACAGAGACATGGGATGGGTGGTCTCCATTGTTGCTATGCGAGATGGTGCGAATGAGCTTATTGCGTACAGTATCAAACGCAGTGCTGGACTTCTTTGTTGGTTGTGCTCGATCTTGATCTGAATCTGAATCGTCGTCATCCACATGCTGACGTATGACAGAGCTGCTTTCGAAAGAACTGTTGCGTACTGGTATTGCCCAAGCCGTGTCCGGCAAACCTATGAGGGACTGTCGATTCTTCTCACTGCGTTCTTGATGATCTTCCTCAGTAGGGGGAGCCAAAACAGGAATCGGCTGGAGAGCTACATCGTTTGCGGTAGATTCCGAATTCTGCTTACTGCGTTTTGGGATCTTGCAACAACAAAGGAGTTTTGAGAGGTTGAAGGAAGGCATTAGTGAGGCTTTGGAGGATAGGGGTATTCTTCCAAGAAACGACCAAAAAGCAGTGAAGGGTCACCAAAAGAAAGAAGTCATGAGGGTCGTCCAAAATGAAGAGTGTTGATGAAACAGGAATGCCTCTTCCTGGAGAGTTCGAGTGGAAGCCTGGTAGCGTTTGGTTGAGGCCATCACGACTTCCACGTCTGTTCCTTCCTATCTGCCCACCTACACCTTGCTCATTGGAAGGTGCAATGCACTCACCACGAGGTCAGCCTTGAGAGTCAAAGTCACTTGATCCATGCTGCCACCTGTTGGAGAAGGAGACGACCTTTCATCATGCTGTTATGACTTTCTCAATCGACATTGTTACTGATTTGTGTTGTTTGAGCATCAGATCTCTCTTGATCAGAAACAACACACCTAACCTAGAGCTGCACCTGATTATTATCTTTCCTGTTATGAGTCGCGTAAGTAGGCAGTGTAGAACAAGTCTTATCGTAGAGCAATTAATCAGTTTTCTAGTGAATCCATCTTCTTGAAAATGTATGAAGTTTTCGGCACTCTCCTTGATGCACCTTGGCTTGTCATACGTAGTCCAAATCCTGTAAACTCCGAAAATTTCCGGTGTAAGCGCAATTCCTACAACATCACAACAACACAACGCTAAAGCACGTGGTCGGTCTCCAGTACGATAGGCCGTTGTAAACCATGAGTAGGTAGACACCGACACCGTTGAACGAAAAATTAGGACACGTCCTCCTGTTGGAGGCTACGAATGGTCGATCTTCTCAACAAAGTGGGTTGCAAAACGACGCCAAAGGCCGATCTGCGGCGAGGTAGAAATTGGCCTCAGCACTTCTTCCTGCTTCCTTTGCTCCATTGTAGCTCCTGAGAGAAGAGAAAATTGGTTGATGAGGTGATTGACATCCAAGCACGCAATTCGGGAGCCGAGCAAAGATTCATTGAGGCGTACTAGCCCCATTGTGCCCTGCGAGAACGGTGAATACCCCTGCCACAAGCTGCAGAGCTGCTGCAAACTGCCCCTCCATTAGCGCCCACCGACAGCCCGTGAGCCGTGGAAAGGGCCCTGAAAATCCACTCCGGCAACCGCCTCCTCCGATTAACCAACCACCTCATACCGTAGTAGGCTAGGTACGAATACGTGAGATTCGAGGTGGATGTTGTTAGAGGCTCCCGCCTGAGTTGTACAGTCCTGTAGCAGTGGCAGTGGCTAGAGTGGCCGTCAGTGGCAGGCAAGCTACTCCTACACTTATCGGTGAAGTGGGTAAACGAATGGTAAGATATCTCGAGTGCTCCGGCGCCAATCAGATCAGCGGCGTAGCTTTCCTCGACCACTTTTTTACCCCTCCCCCGCTTTCGGCCTGGCTTGGTTGGTCCCCTCTGATTTTTCGTCTGAGCAAGCTCAAAACATTCTTCTACTCTCGACTCCCAACTTTTCTTCTCTTCCTTTTTCCTTTCTTCTTCTTCATCTCACTCTTGCCCTTTGCTCTATCTCGAAAAGGATCTTTCAATTGATCCAATTTGGCACAGACAAGGGCTCTTAACCACTTTGTACGTGAAGCTCTTCACCCTTCTTCCGCCTTTCTCAACTCCCCGCCAGCTCCCCTCCATCCAGTCCAGTCCAGCCCTGCTCGATTTCCTCCGCCCCCTCTCCCCGCTGCTACCCCCGCCTGCACCGTGCTCTCAACCAAAAATTCAAAACAAAAGACTAACTTGACAACAACAGTTATACCCAAAGTAAGAATCAGAAGCAGTTGAATCAACCGTCAAGATGGTTCAGTCCGCTATCCTCGGTTTCCCCCGTATGGGTGTTAACCGTGACCTGAAGAAGGCCACCGAAGCTTGTCAGTCTCCCGCAAAATCTCTGACTCGTGTCATCATCGACTAACCAAACCTTAGACTGGGGTGGAAAGATCTCTCAGTCCGACCTCCTGGCTGAGGCTAAGCGCCTCCGTCTTGCTCACTGGAAGATCCAGCAGGATGCCGGTGTCGACATCATCCCCAGCAACGACTTCGCCCTCTACGACCAGGTCCTCCACCAGATCCAGGACTTTGGTGTATGTATCTCCCTCACCTTCGAGTCATAGAACAACATTTGCTGACCCACATCCTTTAGGCTGTTCCCGAGCGATACACCAAGGATGGCCTTGACCCCATTGACCAGTACTTCGCCATGGGCCGTGGTCACCAGAAGGAGGGTGTCGATGTTCCCTCTCTGGAGATGGTCAAGTGGTTCGACTCCAACTACCACTACGTCAAGCCTACCCTCCAGGACAACCAGACCTTCAAGCTCACTGACAGCCCCAAGGCTGTTGCTGAGTTCAAGGAGGCTAAGGAGGCTGGCATCAACACCCGCCCCGTCCTCGTTGGTCCCGTTTCTTTCCTCCACCTCGGCAAGGCCGACCGTGGCCAGTCTGTCGAGCCCATCGACCTTCTTGAGAAGCTCCTCCCCGTCTATGAGCAGATCCTCACCCAGCTGAAGGAGGCTGGTGCCGAGACTGTCCAGATTGACGAGCCTGTCCTCGTCTTCGATCTTCCCCAGAAGACCAAGGCTGCCTTCAAGCCCGCCTATGAGAAGTTCGCCAGCCTTGGTGACAAGATCCCCAAGATTGTCTTCACCACCTACTTCGGTGACATCGTCCACAACCTTGACCTCCTCCCCAAGGACGTCTATGGTGTCCACATCGACCTTGTCCGCAACCCCGAGCAGCTCGAGAAGGTTCTCGGCGCTATCGGCTCCAACACCATCCTCTCTGCTGGTGTCGTCGACGGCCGCAACATCTGGAAGACCAACCTGAAGCGTGCTATCGAGACCGTTGAGACCGCTATCCAGAAGCTCGGCAAGGATCGTGTCATCGCTGCCACCTCCAGCTCTCTCCTCCACACCCCTCACACTCTTGCCAGCGAGAAGAAGCTGGACCCCGAGATTGCCGACTGGTTCTCTTTCGCTACTGAGAAGGCTTCTGAGATTGCTCTCATTGCCAAGGCCGTCACTGAGGGCCCTGCCTCCGTCCGCGAGCAGCTTGAGGCTAACGCCAAGTCCATCAAGGCTCGTGCCGACTCTCCCCGAACCAACGACCCTCAGGTCAAGGAGCGCCAGTCCAAGGTCACCCAGAAGGACTATGAGCGCAAGAGCGAGTTCACCACCCGTATCAGCCAGCAGCAGAAGAAGCTGAACCTTCCCCTCTTCCCCACTACCACTATCGGATCTTTCCCCCAGACCAAGGAGATCCGAGTTCAGCGAAACAAGTTCACCAAGGGTGAGATCACCGCTGAGGAGTACGACCGCTTCATTGAGAAGGAGATTGAGGAGAACATCAAGATCCAGGAGGAGCTTGACCTCGACGTCTTCGTTCACGGTGAGCCTGAGCGTAACGACATGGTTCAGTTCTTCGGTGAGCGATTCCAGGGTTATGCTTTCACCACACACGCCTGGGTTCAGTCCTATGGTTCTCGATGCGTCCGACCTCCCATCATCGTCGGTGACATCTCTCGACCTCAGCCCATGACCGTCAAGGAGTCCAAGTACGCCGTCTCGGTCTCCAAGAAGCCCATGAAGGGTATGCTTACTGGCCCCGTCACCTGCCTTCGATGGTCTTTCCCTCGTGACGACGTCCACCAGTCCGTCCAGGCTGAGCAGCTTGCCCTTGCCCTCCGTGACGAGGTCGTCGACCTTGAGAAGGCTGGTATCGACGTCATCCAGGTCGATGAGCCCGCTCTCCGTGAGGGTCTTCCCCTCCGCTCCGGTGAGGAGCGTGATGCCTACCTCAAGTGGGCCGTCCAGGCTTTCCGCCTCTCCACCGCCGGTGTTGAGGACGCCACTCAGATCCACTCTCACTTCTGTTACTCTGAGTTCCAGGACTTCTTCCACGCCATCGCTGCCCTCGATGCCGACGTTCTGTCCATTGAGAACAGCAAGTCTGATGCCAAGCTCCTCCGAGTCTTTGTCGACTCTGAGTACCCCCGCCACATCGGACCTGGTGTCTACGACATCCACTCTCCCCGTGTCCCCAGCGAGCAGGAGATCAAGGACCGCATCGAGGAGATGCTTCAGTTCCTTAAGCCCGAGCAGCTCTGGATCGACCCTGACTGTGGTCTCAAGACCCGTCAGTGGAAGGAGACCAAGGAGGCGCTTGCCAACATGGTTAACGCCGCCAAGTACTTCCGTGCCAAGTACGCCAAATAAATGCCAACCCATAATTGTATAAGAGGTTGATGACGGTGATGAAGGCGTATGAGGATTGTGTTAATAGCATTTTTGTGGAGGCTGTTCTTCAAAACAGCTACGATTTCAACATCGGCGTTTGGGACTGGCCTAAAAAAAGGACCAGATATGTTTGTGGTAAAATCCTAAAAGTTAACCTGTGGATTAGGATCTGGGTACGGCTGGTTTGGCGAGCATTCAACATTTGCATATACCCTCCCGATTGGGAGCAGATGAGGGTCTAAAATCAACAAATTGACCTATTTTTCATGATGATGATGAAACTTTTGTTCCTTCTCTATAATTGCTGTGAATGGTTATGATATGATAATGTCTCGTTAGTGGTTTAATGAGTAGTTATAGCTATTATGTGAGTCTTTCCATGCCATGGTGTTTTGGTCTGATGTGGTTGAAATTTCTCACGTGCACACGCGTGGATGAGCTACCAAGCCCCACGTCACAACGCGCTTCTTTGTTATCCTTGTCTCTCAAGCGACGATGTCAATTTATGCTTAACTTCTTCAACATTGAGGATTCATACTTCACATGTGACCTCTGACGCGATGCGCCACTACTTATCAGGATGCCTCCGATTGTAATACTCGATTCTGACGACGAAGACGAGGATGGCAGCTTTTCTCCGCCCCCAAATATACAGGCACCATTCTCATTTGGACCAGCCGGAATTGAAGCTCAGACTGAAGCTGCAAATGATTCTTCTGGAGGTGTAAGCCGTGCGACGACATCAACAAACCCGTCATTCTTTCAAAATATTTACAATGAGCAGAATGATGCAGCCCGTGGATATGTTCCAGAACCGACAGCCAGATCACATGATCAGGATCAACATTCAGTCTCAAGCTCTGAGATGACAACGCCAGCACCTTTCAAAAGAACGGTAACGGGACTTATTGAACCCTCTTCAATGCCATCTGCAAGAGATCAAACAACAAAAAGAGGACAGACCAATGGAAACGGCCCAGATGAATGGACTCAGGCCTCAACACCAGGCAGAAGAAAGGCACCCATGGCTGTTATGGACGATATGTGGGATGTACCAAGTTCACCTGATGAGCGTCCTGTTAGGCCTAAGATAAAACTCAAAGTCAAGAGTTCGAAGGCTCAGTCTGATTCCACCTCTGACTCTCGTCACACGCAAGAGTCGGACAAGCAAGGAAAGACTCCAAGCTCAAAGTCTGGGCGATCAGATGGCTCACCTTCAGGCAAGAAGCGTAGAAGAGTCAGCCATCCAGAACCTTCTTTCCAAGGTTCCAACGAAGTGGACTTGGTTGCTATACCTTTCAGTTATGAAAATGAGGGAGAATATCATGAATCCCAGCCAGCACCAACACCCAGCATGCTCCCGCCAACATTACCAGTCAATCAAGACGATTCTTTCTTCATCACCACAAACCCGCTTACAGATGCCCATGCCCAGAAGCTGGAGTACGAGAGTGTGCAATTGCCCTCTAGTGACAGCCAGAATCACCAACTCCCTCTGGTCCGTCAGTTCGAAATCAATCTTGCGTCAAGCGGAGATGCAACAAACATCAATACACC